TATTAATTTCTGAGAAACTGTTTGGCACGTTAATGCGTTGAGCATGCTGCATGCATTAAAGAAGCTGCTTTCAGCCCACCTGCTGCTGGGCAGAGTGGTGGTTTTGCAATACACAGTGGACATGCAAGTTGTGTTGCTGCATAAGTTCCTCCTGAAATCACCTGCCCTGAGCAGCAGCTTTCCCCTGGAGAAAGGAGTTCACTGAAATTGTTTCCCTCCTCCTAGAGGAGGGAGTCTGTGCAAGGGTCATGTTCCTGGGTTTCACTCCTGCTGTCTCTCCTGCAGGTCTGACAGCTCCTTCAGCTTCTTCGTCTTCTTTTTCATCTTCTTCTGCCAGATAGCAATCTACATCATCCAGGCTGTTGGCATTCCTGGCTGGGGAGACAGGTAAGCTTGCTTCCACGGGCTGCCATGTCACAGCCCTGCATGGATGCTTTTTCTCACCAGGGCTGTGACTGTCAGGAGCTTTGGGGTCCGCTGCTGACAGCTGTCTGTTCTTTCTCCTGTGGTTTTCCTCTCTGATGATACATAGCTTTGGCAGGTCCCAGCTGGGCTGCCTCTCTCCTCCCCTCTCCCCATCCTAGTCCCAGCAAAGGCAGGTACCTTGGCTGCTGCTGCCAGCGCTGAAAGCACTATGTGAAATCTTCCACGCCTTCTCTGCTGCCTTCCCCCTCACTTAATACACATAATACTTATCCCCTTTTGATGCTGAGCCTCCAGCGTTGACCGAATCTGCCTCGTGTTAAAAGGGAGCCTTCCCCGATAGAGGCTGTGGCGTGGGCATGAGGGATCTCTGACCCAGAGGCTGCGTGTGGCTTAACTCGATACTGCTGCTAGCAGCCTGATTCAGTCCCTTAACTCCTTCTGAATTTCTCTCGAGTGCACCGTCGTTGGGCTGTGCTTCAAAAAAATAAGCAGAGAGGGTTTTACCCTTGCCGTTTCTTCATGCCATTGCACAGAAGGATGATCCTGGGCTTCTGGAGTGAGTCCAACAGGCCTCTCATCAGCAGTTGCCCCTGCAGTGAAAGCACAGGCTTTCTTTTCGCTTTGCTGCGTTGGCCGCAGATTGGATTCCGGAGTTAACTGTGAGCAGTGGAAAGGTTAACAGCTAGTGGTTTTTCTCCTGAGGGGGAGTCTTCAGGTGATGAGCGCTTTGAAACTGCTGTCTATTTTTGCCCGCTGCCTGCAGAATGGCTCATGGGCAAAGCTGTCCTTGTGCTCCCTCCCCTGCTAGCTGGTGCTGCCTTAGTCATGGGGGACTGGGAGGGGGCACTCCGTTTTTAGTCTGACTTTGGAGAGTGTGCGTTAAGCTTTCGGCTGTGTTTCCTCAAGCCAGACAGCGCGTTTATTTTTGGCTGTAGTGCATGGTGTGCCTTTCCGCTTTCTCGTAATGAGGAAGAAGTTGTGCAGCCCATCAAATGGGATGGTTTGGCTCACTTGATTCCCTCTCTCCTGGTCGCACACAGCTTGCTTGGTTTAGCAGTTGGAAAGATTCTTTTCTCCAGCACCCAGGAGGGTGTTTTGGGTGAGCCGTCTTGGTATTTTTACCCACAGCCAAGCACTGATAATTCCTGGCGTCCTGCCTGCCCCTTCAACAGCTGCCAGTTTCCTCCTTTCCGTAGCTCTACCTTCATCCCTTCCTTTTTCCACCACCTCCCAACACTTACATCCCTGGCCACGCAGAGCTGTCGCAGTGACATGCAGGTCTAGGCTCCAGATCCGCCAGCTGAGCTCTTCCTATTTAGAAGTGCCAGCCTATCTTTACATTACTTGGCGGAATTTTGAGAAGGTGCCCGTGGGAGTGACTTGATCTATGATGGTGCCAAGGGTATTGATTTTTGCTGCTTAAGGGGGGTGGCCCAGGGGCCGGGGCTGCAGCGTGGGTGAGGTGAGCCCGATTCTCTTGGGTAGAGGTGGATCGCTTCTAAAAATGATGATGGAAACTCTGGCACCAAAACGAGCGCCTGGGTGAGCTCCGGGTCCCTGCTTCCACAGCCGATACGTTCGGTTTTGCACCTCCCTGTAGCCTTCCCCAAAGGCTCCTGTGCAACCGTCGGTGCCTCTTCTCCCCCTGCTCCATCTCATCCTGTGAATTGAAGGCTCCCCGTGCTCAGCCCGCTCACCCCTCTCTTGCAGCGGATGGATTGCGGCGCTGTCTGAGGTGCACGGGAACCTGGCCGTGGCGGTTATCATGATGGTGGTGGCAGGATTCTTCACCCTCTGCGCGGTTCTCTCGCTCTTCCTCCTGAAGCAGGTGAGTCCCTCGGAGGCAAGGCGAGGGCTCGGCTGCCTGGCTGATCCACAGGTCGGGCTGCTCCCCGGGTATCCTGGGGTTGCCACCCCCTCTCATCTGTCTGGGGATTAGCTTGCTTTTGAAGATGTAATCAGGGCACTGTCAAGAGCTTTTGATGGAAGTGTTTTCACTAGCGCTCCCTGCGTCGATGCCAAGTCGCTTGAACACTGAGGGGACCTGCAGGTGGGAAAGTAGCCTTCAGGGAGGGAACCAGAGGTGCAGATGCTTCAGTAAGGCACACCATTAACCAGGCACATTAGAATAAAAGAGGGTGTGGTAAGGCTTGCTGCATTGGCCGCTGGCCAGGGAAGATGGCCAGCGAGGTCACCCTCGTCAAACACAGACATCAAATTTCTTGCACCTCCCTTTAGCTTGAGTCTAAAGATTCCCCTTAGCTTGTCTAGAGGTGGCTGAGCGGAGGCGGCCGTTGCTTTGTTCGGGTATCCAGGGCTTTACAGTCCCTGCTACCGCAGTGTTGTGGGACTTTTCAAAGCCTGGTGGGATCCAAAGGAGTGCCTTCCCGCTGGCTCCCAAACGCAAGCCCCGCTTCCTCCTCCTGATCGGCCACACGAGAGTTGCATTTCTGCAATTACCAGCAGGAATGTAGCTTTGGGGAAGGCAAGGACAGGCTGAACTGGTCCTGTTCCTATTGCTTCCTCCTCCTTTTCTCCTAAATTGTATCTTGAAGGAAACACCTCGTGCTTGTAGTTGCAGGCACCTTCAGGTCCTGCCCTGCAAGTGTCTGTAAATGCAGGGGTTAAGTGTCCATACCATCACAGTGTGGGGAGGGGAGTTTTTGGTTTGATACCCACCATTTTGCTGCGAGCTCCACATTTCACAACAGAGGTGGGTCTCGTGAAATCTGCAGCATCACATGCAGGTGAGGTGGAGGCAAGGGCTCCAGCCCATCCCCTCTAGCTGCCAGGAGAGCTGGTTAGTGGTGGGGCTGAGGAAAAGCAAGGTGTGTGCAGCAAGCCCACAATTACATGCTGATTTTCCTCCCCCCCCACCCCCCCCAATCCTCTCCTGTTTCCCAGGTGCATTCCCTGTATCGGCGCACAGGAGCCAGTTTCCAAAGGGCCCAGGAAGAGTTTTCCCAAGGCATCCTCACCAACCGGAGCTTCCAGAACGCAGCCGCTGGGGCGGCCTCCTCAGCTGCACAGAGTGCTTTCCGGGGAAACTAGCCCTTCCCGGGGCCTCCCCCTTGCTTCCTCTGCCATCATCACCCCAACATTTTTTTTTTTTTTTAATTTTATTTTTTTTGTCCTAAAGATGCACTTTTCAGGGGTACCATGTTAGCTCTGTGATGCCGACTCCAGATGAGAAGAGCTCTGTTTTGTTTTGGTTTTTTTTTAGCTTCAGCTGGCCTACGTTTATGACAATTAGTTTTCCCTGTCTTGTTTTAGGGTGTGGGGAGATAGGGGAGACATTCTCTGAAGCAAATATATTTCTCTATCCAGGACGTACTGAGTGTTTCTGTCTCTCAGTTTCTCGCCCTGTCTGTAGCTGGAAGACGAGGGGAAGCAGGTTTTGATTTTATTCTCTCTTCTATTGGCGTTTGCTATGAAGAATTTATCTGCTGTTTTGGGGGAGGGGGGGTTTGTAACTTGCATGTAGTTTGTTATTAATTTTAAGAGCAAAAACTGTACTTTTGGTTTATTACACTTACACAATGCTGCATTTTGACCTCCTAACTGCTCGGCTGCCTGAGAGTCGGGATAACGTGGCACAAAGGAAAGCCTGGGAGCAGGGGGGATTAGAGAGAAGGGGTAACGTCTTTTTCCTTGTCCCCCCATTTGCTTCCACGGGGATTCTGCAGATGACGACCCTCAGGGCTCCCGGGCACAGAGAGAGGGAGAAGGGATCAGCAGGGGCTGACTGTCTCCATGGCCTTAAACCAGGGGCAGGAGGGAAATAGGGATTTTTATTTGAGCTCAAACACTACCCTGTCTCTCCCCAACTAACCGTGAGAGCCTGCCTGGTGAGAGCATGAATGGATTTTTCTCCGGGGACAGCTCCTCCCCGCCTTCCTCCTCCCACATAATATTTTTTTTTCAGCTGGGAAAGAACTGCTTTGATGTGTGTTTAGCTTCGAAAGCTGTTCCCGGAGCTGGGTTGCCGCTTGGGCTGCCGATGCGGCGCGGGGCTTGGCGTGCCCGTGGGGGCAAGGACCAGTGGGGGGAGCATTTTCCTCGCCTCCCCCCTGCTCTCCAGGTTGCTGACAGACTTTGTGTTGCCCCTTTCTGTCCCCTCCTGCCCAGGCAGGGGGTTGCATTTTGTGTCCCCATCCTCGGCTGGCAGGGAGCGGGTGCGGGGGGGAGCCTGCTCGGCCAGAAATCGCCCCTTTTTACACACATACCCCTTTCCTCCTGTATTAATTTTTAACCTGTGTCTCATCTTTTCATGTAAAAAAAAAAAAAAAAAAAAGGGAAAAAAATTAATAATAAAGTGTAAATATGCTCAAAACAAAATCCCCCTGATGTCGGGGGGGCGTGGCTAGAAGCGGGTCGGGGGCGTGGCCGCGCGGGGTTGGGGGCGGGTCGGGGGCGTGGCCACGCGGGGTTGGGGGCGGATCGGGGGCGTGGCCACGCGGGGTTGGGGCGGATCGGGGGCGTGGCCACGCGGGGCTGGGGGCGGATCGGGGGCGTGGCCACGCGGGGTTGGGGGCGGATCGAGGGCGTGGCCACGCGGGGTTGGGGGCGTGGCCAGGGCCGTGGCGCGCCGGGAAGGCGGAAGCGGGGCGGGGCGGGGCGGCCATGGCCGGTAGCGGCTGGGCCCCGCCGCGCCTCGATGAATTCATCCTCACCGAGCGGCTGGGCGCCGGCACCTACGCCACCGTTTACAAGGCCTACAGGAAGGTAGGGCCGGGCCTGCTGCGGGGTGTCCCTCTCCCGTGGCGTGTGTGTCCGTCCCCCCCCGCTTTTTCCCATCCCTCCATGGCGGGGTATCATCCCTACAGCCCCTCAGTGGGACCTGTCACCCCTTTGCCCCCTTCCCTTCCCCACCCGGGACCCCCCTGCCAGGCTGGGGAAGGGCCCCCCAGGGTGGTTCTTGGGGTGGAGGTGGTGGGGAGGGGGGGGTTGCTCCACGCTTGGCTCCCCTTGGCAGGGGGACACGCGTGAGGTGGTGGCCATCAAGTGCGTGAACAAGAGGAGCCTCAACCGCGCGTCGGTGGAGAACCTGCTGACGGAGATCGAGATCCTGAAAACCATCCGCCACCCCCACATCGTGGAGCTCAAGGACTTCCAGGTTGGGGCTGGGGGCTTCCCGGGGGGGGGGACGACACTGAGCCAGCCCCCGTGGGTCCATCCTGGCTCCCTATGGGTGTATCCACGGGGCTCCACGCCAGCAACTGGGCAAACCAGTCCTGCGTGGGTGGGATACCCAGTGGGACTGGCCGGGGTGGCGTGAGGGGGGGTCTTCTTGCCTCGCAGTGGGACAGCGACCACATCTACCTGATCATGGAGTTCTGCGCCGGGGGGGACCTTTCCCGCTTCATCCGGATGCGCAGGATCCTCCCCGAGAAGGTGGCCCGCATCTTCCTGCAGCAGCTCGGTAAGGGCACCCTTCCAGGGGGTGGGGGGGTTGGGTGGGGAGGACAGGGTTGTGTCTCTGTCCCCCCACCACATGCCCATCTGCCCGCCCAGCCTGCGCTCTGAAGTTCCTCCACGACCGCAACATCTCCCACCTGGACCTCAAGCCGCAGAACATCCTCCTGAGCGCCCCGGAGAACCCCCAGCTGAAGCTGGCAGGTCAGGGCAGGCCCCCAGGGAGGGGCTGGGGCGGAGGGGGGGGCTGTAATTCCTTCTCCTCACCCCCCACAAGCTCTCCTCGCCCTCTCCACCCCCCCCACCCCCCTCCAGATTTCGGGTTTGCGCAGTACATGTCGCCGTGGGACGAGAAGCACGTCCTGCGGGGCTCCCCGCTCTACATGGCCCCCGAGATGGTGTGCCGCCAGCAGTACGACGCCCGGGTGGACCTGTGGTCGGTGGGCGTCATCCTTTACGGTGGGCTTTTGCTTTTATACCCCCCCCCCTCACCCCGGGGCTCGGCTCGGAGCCGGTTTCCCCCTCTCCATCTCCCCCCACCACTCCCTTTCCCCCCCCCCGCCACCCCACAGAAGCACTTTTCGGGAGGCCGCCCTTTGCCTCCCGCTCCTTCGCCGAGCTGGAGGAGAAGATCCGCAGCGACCGGGCTGTCGAGGTAACACGGGATGGAGCCGGGGGGTGGCGGGGTTCCCACAGCCCACTCCCGTGGCGGCAGAGCCGGGGGTCTCAGCCCCCTTCCCTCCCCAGCTGCCCAGCCGGCCCCTGCTCTCCCCGGAGTGCCGGGATCTCTTAGGACAGCTCCTGGAGAGGGACCCTGTGAAACGCATCTCCTTCGAGCGCTTCTTTGCCCACCGCTTCGTGGATATGGAGCACGTCCCCGGCCCCGAGAGCCTCTGCAAGGCGGTGAGTGGGGGGCTGCTCCCTGGGGGATGCAAGGGGGCCGAGCCCTGAGCCTCCCCCCCCCATCTTCCCCAGACCGACTTGGTGGTGGAGGCGGTGAAGAAGGATCAGGAGGGGGATGCCTCCGCTGCCCTCTCCCTCTACTGCAAAGCCCTGGAGTATTTTGTGCCAGCTCTACACTGTGAGTCCACCCCAGGGGGCTGCGTGGGTTCCGGGTGGTGGTGGGTGCATTTGTGAGGGGGTGGGGGTGGGGGGTGGACCCCCAGGGGAGGCCAGTTTGCAGCCCACCCCCCCCCCCAGCATTCGATTACTCTCCCCCCCTCACCAGATGAAAGCGATGCTCGCCGGAAAGAAGCCATCCGGGCCAAGGTGAGCCAAAAATCCCTGGGGAGGTGGTGGGGAACTGCATCCCCATGGCTTAGCTTGGCAAGATGTCCCTCATCCTCCGTCCCCTGTGCTGGGGGTCCCCTCACCGCGCCCCCCCCCCCCCCTCTGCTGTGGGCAGGTGGGGCAGTACATCTCCCGAGCAGAGGAGCTGAAGGCATTGGTCACCTCCAGCAGCAAGAACCTCCTGCAGCAAGGGAACCCGGCCAGAGAGCTCCTTAAAGGTAATGTTTTGGGGGGGGATATCCCCACCCCAGCATCAGGGCGGGAAGTGAGGTTTTGGGCTGACGGGTGCTCCCCGTTGCAGAGATGGCCAAGGACAAGCCTCGCCTCTGCGCTGCGCTGGAAGTGGCTTCTGCTGCCATCGCTAAGGTGAGCCGTGGATTTGGGGGGGGTCCCCTTGAGTGGAGGAGGAAAGAGCAAACCCGGGTGGGGAGGGAGCCGGCATAGCCCCCCCGGCTGCAGCCCGGCCCCACCGGGGTCTCTTGCAGGAGGAGGAGGGCAAAGATGACGGTGACACCCTGGAGCTCTACCAGCAGAGCCTGGGCGAGCTGCTGCTCCTCCTGGCCGGTGGGTTGTGGCCGTGGGTGGGTGCTGTGGGGCAGGGAGGGGTCCGGCCGTGGCCGATCCGATGGGTCGATCCCTCTTCTCTCCGCAGCGGAGCCCGCGGGGAGGCGACGGGAGCTGCTCCACGCCGAGGTGAGGGCCAGCCGTGGGCCGGCAGCATGTCCCCCTTGGCGTGGCTCTGAAGGGACTTTCCTCTGTCTCTCTCCCTGCCAGATCCAGACTCTGATGGCCCGTGCTGAGTACCTGAAAGATCAGATGAAGGTACGGCTGCTTTGGGGGGTGGGGGGGCCCTGGAGCATGTCGGGGAGAGAGTCTGCGGGCTGGAAAACGATCCTCTCCCCTGGCAGATGCGGGAGGCGCAGTCCATGGGCAAGGAGGCGCTGGCAGAGCCCGTCCGGAGCAGTGAGTCCCCATCTCCATCCCTTCGTGTCCCATCCGAAGGGGGGTTTGGTGAAAAGGGCCTTGGGGAAGTGTCCCCCATCGTGGCTGCGGTCCTGCGGCGGGGAGGGATCCCCACGGGTGCCGCAGCCACGGGGATTTCCCCACCTGTGGGTAATCCCGACCCTGCACACCCTCCTCTCCCCACCCCTGGCGTGGGGTCATCTCTACGGGTGCCCACCACCCCGGGCCGGGCGACGACGGTGTGTGCAGCTGAGTGAGTGTCCTTTGTGTCCCCCCGGCACAGCCTGTACCTTGCAGTGACGCCCAGGAGCCGGCCGGCGGGATGCTGCCCACCGCCCCGTGCACAGCGATGCCGTTGGCGGGGCGGAGGAAAGACGACGAGGCTTTCGTCCCGACCACCTCGGGGTGGGGGGGGGCTCCCACCCCCGGAGGTGGAGGGTGGGGGGGTCCACAGGACCATCTGCCCCTCTCCCCAGGCGCTGGCGTCGACTCATTTCCCGGCAGGCAGAGCCCCCTCCCAGCCCTGCCTCGACCGTCTGCTGCCGCAGCATTCCCTGACGGCGGTGGGCAGGTTATTCCACTCTAATTCCCTCCGCTGGCTGTGACGGGCTGGGTATTTTTATCCCAGCACTGGGCTCCAGCAGAATAACACACACACACACCCCCCGCTGCCAGTCACATACGTCTCTTCCCTTTTCGGCTGGATGTTTCTTCCACTTCCCGAATTTTTCTAGGGGAGCCCTGACCATATGCACAGCCCAGACCCACAGACCCCCCCCAGCCCCGGTAGCTCCAGGCTGTTGGTGACGGCAGCAGGCAGGAGGGGGTCGGGGACGCTGCCGGCGCCTGCCCTCCGCTGTGCCTTTCTCACCCAGCAACTACCTCTCTGCGCCCACTGCTGCTCGTCCGGCCTCGAGCACCCGATTGCACTCTCCCAGCCCGGCCGTACCTCCCTCTCGCTGCTGGAGCGTCGGGGTCGAGGCTTTTGCTTCCTAAAAACTGCCTGCACTGGAGCCTGGCAGGTACTGGCTGCGTTCGTCATCTGTGTCATGAGGTGTTCCCAGTGCTCAGCGGGGGGCTAAGGGACTGGGCATGCTCCTCCGCGCGGAGAGTCCTCGCGTAAAACAGATGAGCTGAAACCAGCCGCCTGCAGGGACAGAGTCACGCAGCTGCAAACGGCGATACCTCCCCGAAGGCAGAGCCTCGACCTCCTGCCTGCTCTGTTTCTCAGGGCTCTGACAACCTGAATATCCAAATTATATTCCCGGGAGCCCCCTGCCCCAGCCCTGCAGAAGTCACATATCCAGGGTGGTGAGGTCCGTCTGTCCTGCAAAGCAAGGGATTTTCTCAATATCTACTGTATTTCAAGGGAATGTAATTTGTTCTCTTTAGTAAACACTTATTTTGGTTTCTTCAACTCCTCCTCCCGTCTTGGGTTTGTGCTTTAAGACCCAAGAGGGGTCTCCAGCCAAGCCCAGGACCGAGAGCCAGCTTGGGATGCCTGGAGCTGTCAAGAAGGGCTGGGGACCCCTCGTCCCCGTCCCCCTGCCCAAAACCAGACCTGGGAATCCCCTTTCCTCCTGCCAGTGCTGGCTGGGAGTGCCCTACCTCCCTGTCCTCCCTGGGGACATGAGGCAGCCAAAGCAAGGTTTGACCTTGTTTTTGCTTCAGATCTCTTTTTTTTTTTTTTTTTTTTTTTGGTGTGTGTGCGTGCATGTAAAACATCAAGCAGAACAACATAAAAGATTACGTAAAATCACATTTTCTCCAACAGATTTGTATGGCGGGTGAGGAACGGCTGGGCTGGGCAGAGAGGTGGGGGGGGGGGTAAGAGCAAATGCTGGGGTGATTTTGGGGGGACCCCAGGAATGGTCTGAGCTGTGACCCCAACAAAGCTCCTCCTGAGACCACCTTTGCCCCAGATGCTGCCCCATAATGTGGTTTCTCCCCCATCTTTCCCCCCCCCGGCCTGTAGCCCCAGCCTTTAGTCCTTTGCCGGCTGCTCCATGCCCCAGCTGTTGGAGAGCTTCCCGGGCAGATGTGGCAAGGCATTTTTTTTTGTCTTTTATATCATTGTTACTATTTTTCTGAGCAGAGATTATACCCTGAGGCTTTAAAGAGCTTTCAGACCCCCTGCCCTCCCGCGGCCCGTGGCTAGCGTGGAGCTGCGGGGGATAGCTGAACTGGCTGGCTGCGGCAGCCGGCGCGGATAATCGCATCTGTCTTTACGCTCTGCCGAAGACGCGGCCGAATCCGAAGCCTTTTGATACGGGGAGAGGCTTCGGCCACATCCCTGCCCTGGGGTGGTGGAGCTCGGGGTGCCCCCGCTTCGTGGCGGGGTGGCTTGCGAGCCTTTTCTGCATCGGAGCTCGCAGGGAGGGAGGGAAGGAGGCACGGAGCGAGCAGTCCCCATCCCGGCAACGCGGGGCCGCCTCCGGCCGTGGCCTCTGTCACTTGGCACGGCTTCGGCTGCAGCGGGGAGGAGCGAGAGCTGGCTTCTCCCATCGGCGTGATGGCAAAGCCCGGCGGGGACGCGGGCCGAAGCGGTCCTGCCTCCCTGCCAAGGGCTCCTCCAGCCTGGTGCCTCCCGAGCACCGCTCACCGGGAGGCTCTTGGGTCCGGCTTGTCACCCAGAGAGGGACACAGGGATGGCAGATGGGATTATCACCCTCCTTGTCCCAGCCCGTGGGCTCCTCGGTGATGGGAGTTCATTTAATGGGCTTTAAAGAAAGAGGGTGGGGGGGAAGCTGGGCCAGCGTGTGGAGCCAACCCTGGGCTCTCCCCCAGGCTCTTTAATCCGGATTAAACCCACTATCTGGACCAGCGATGCCGCAGTGGGATGGATGGGGCCATCCCTTCCCGCAAGGAGATTTAATCGCCCGCAAAATAAAAACAAAAGCACTTGGCGGAGATCCCCCCTCCTTTGATGACGGTTCGTTTGTTTCGGTGCTTGAACGGTTGCTCGTCTGATGCTTTGTCAATTGGGGAAACCACTCGCGTCATCCTGCGCTCACCAGCAGAAAGGAGGCCTGATCCTGCGGCCGTATGCTGGGGGGTTGCTCTGGTGCAGGAGGGTAGGAGCTGTGCCCGCCCACAGGGCATTTATTTATACGCTTTGCTGCCAGCAGACATCCTCCAGCAACCAGCAAGGACTTGCTTGGATAAACCCACCCCAAACCTGGCCCCGTAGGTGAGGGAATTATATAGGGGTTTGTAGTGCAGAAGAGAGAAAAAAATAGATTTTCTGCTTTAATCCACGCTAATTCTTTGCTTGAAGGTTTTTTTTTAGCCCGTGTGTTGATGCCCGGAGCAGTCGTATGGCGTGCAGGCAGCCGGGATGCTCGGCTGCAGGGATGCTCGGGGAGCCGGCAGTGGGGAACGCTGGCACACGGGCTGCATCTCTCGAGGGGCAGGGAACAGGCAGGAGGAGGGGTGCCTGCCCCTGCTCCCCATATCCCAAACTCTCCTCCCCGGTACGGGCACCGGGCCAGCGACAGGAGCAGGGCTCCATTCCTCGGAGCTCACGACGCTTCGCCGAGGCTTAACACGTCGCGGAGCCGAGCGGGGAGAGCGCGTGCTGCTTGCTTTTCACATGCCTGGGGGTCACGGTGCCTCCTAAAATAAACCCGCCGAGCTTCACGCGGCCTTTGCGTGGCGGCACGTGGGCCGGGAGCGAGCGCGGAGCAGAGCCGAAGGTCCGCGGCGGGGGGAGAGGGGAACGGGGGGCAAAATAAAGGGGGGGGGGGGAAGGGGGGAAGGTCCAGGCTGTGTCCTGGTGGGGTTACAGTGGTTATGGGTGGGGGTGAACCGGAGGGCTGCATCCCCCAGCCCCACATCCCTCTCTCTGCTCCGGCCGGGATCCCGCTCACCTGCGGGATGTTTTATTGATCAGGCCTTGCCATCAGCCGGGGATTTAAAAGCCAAGCCCGGCCGGAGGGCTTGGCGTGGTCGGTGCCTGCCCTCTGCTAGCCCTTTCCTGGTGGGGGATTAGATGAGCTTGGGCTGAGCCTCGACAGGTATGATCTCCTTTCAGAGCTAAAGCTGCTTCTGCCCACCTTCCCTCTCCTTTCTCGCTGGCCTCCAGCACCGTGTGGGGCTGTGTTAGGGCTCTGCCTGGGGCGGACGTCCCCGGAGCTGCTGGTGAGTCCCTGCGGGGCTGGAGGGTTGCCATGATGTGTGTCCCCAGGGGATGCTGTGCGTGTGTCCCCGTGGGACGCTGCCTGTCCCCAGAGGACGCTGTCTGTCCCCAGAGGACGCTGTCTGTCCCCAGGGGATGCTGTGTGTGTGTCCCCGTGGGACGCTGTCTGTCCCCGTGGGACGCTGTCTGTCCCCATGGGCAGAGCATCACGCCTGCGCTGCAGCCAGGAGGCTGAGCTGCCCTTGTCTGTCTGTCCTGCCAACAAAAGTGGTGGCTGATTTCCTCTAAAAGGTGAGACAACCTCTGGCTTCGGAGGGTGTCAGGAGTTTCTCAGGGTTACCTGGCCCCAGCACTGTGTTACCAGGGGGCTGGGGGCAGGAAGCAATCTCCTGCCCAGCAGCCCCACACATGGCCTGATCCAGCATCCTTGCTGTAATAATAATAATAACAATAATAATAATACTCATATTACTACTATTAATAATAATACCAGTCTCCCAGCACTCTCCCCTGCTTTTTCCTGGATGACCCAACTACCCTGCAAATGCAAATTGCAGTTAATCTGCTCCGTTGGGATTTGGAGCAGTAAATTCCCAGCCCGTGCCAAGTTTTTCCAGAAAGCCTGGCTGTGTGAGCCCACCACCCACCGGGATGCCAGCAGGCTGGAGCTGCTCCGGCTCGGAGTCACACCTGTACTTATCACGGTCTCGTCCCTGCAGAGACATGTCCTTGCTCGGAGCAGCGCCGCGGACACCCCGCAGTGCCCATGAGACTGAGGCGGGGAGCTGGTGAGTGCTCTGAGGCTTTTTACTAAAATAGCCAAAAATCTGTGAAATCTGGGGGTTTTGTTTGCTTTTAAAGCCGGCTGCTGACAAAGAGCAGCTCGTAGCATCCTTTTGGTTTGAAACATGGCAAAACACCCGACCACAACCAGGCATGATGCTTTCTTCCGGATGATGCTGCGAGATATTTCTCCCTTGAGCTCCCATCACGACTCCCCCCTGCCCTGTAAAGGGGATGCACTTGATCTCCCTACACCCCTCGTGCCTTGGGGCACCTCAAAATCTTTATCAGGAAAGTACTGCTTGAGGAGAGAAATAAATGCATAGACATCTCCTGGTATTTATTCCACTGGTTATAACAGTACCATGGCACGGGGACGGTACAGGAGGTGGAGAGACACTCAGCTGAGCACAGCGCACAACTACAGCACGACAGAGGAGGAGGTTTTCCCTTATCAATTTGTTCTTCTCCTGGGAAGAACAAGGACACGAGTGGGTCCCACCCTGGGAGAAGGAGGGTGTGCCGCTGCCGCTCTGGGGAAGGGCTGCTGCAGGTTCAAATGAGCACCGAGGAGGGGGGTTAGTCCTCTCTGGAATTAATTCGGGGTTTATTCCTCTCTGGAATTAATTCAGGCTTTATTCCTCTGGTCCTCAACACCCCCCTTCCTGCTGGGCTAAAGGGGCTCCTTCCCAGCTGGATCCTTTGCGGGGACCCTCAAGGGAAAAGTGGTTGGTATTTCTTGCATGGACGGGATGGTTTTTCTCGTGTGATGGGTAGGGGATGCAGGCTGGGGGCGGGGAGGGGGGCATTTCACATTGTGCCTCATCCTTGCCAAGAAAACTGGGGCCTCCCTGTCACTTCTGGGGGGGCTCGGTTGAAATGTGTAGGCAGAGACACAGTGTACGGGCACCGCTCTGCTTGGAAAGCCTTTGCCTTCCCATGCTGACGTGGTTCAGCTGCGCTCTCAGATCGCTCAGGGATTTCCCTCCCTACAAACCACCCCCCTCCCCAGCTCTCGCTAAAGACACCCACGGGCAGAGGAGGAGGCGTTGGGGTATTGGAGGGGACATGCTGGCTTTTTGCTGTAATCTCAGACCGGAGAACAAAACAAAAACCACACAGCAGGGACATCTGGGTCAGGGACTTGAGGCTTCACGGCTCGGAAGAGGACCCGACTCACACAAGGCAAGGGTGACAACATCAGTGGGGTCCCCGCTGCAGGCAACAGCCACCGCCAGACCCTTCGCTTCATCCCCTCCCTTCTCCCCAACCGTCACGTTGACGGGGAGAGGGGGGCTCAGCCGGGTCACATCACGGCGCATTTCTCAGCCGATTGCTTCAGGTCCTCTAGTGTGGCCGAAGCTTTGTCTTTCAAGGAGTCAAGGTCCAGGTTCTGGATGTTGCTGAGCTGGCCGATCACCGAGTTCTTCTCTTCCTCCTCCTCGTTGTCCTGCTCGATCATCTTGGCCAGCTCTTTGGGCAGCTCCACATCGCCTCCCACCAGCTGGATCTGGTTGTCATCCGTTTCGTTCTGAAAGGGGCCCCGGGGAAAGTCAAGCAGGGTGGGAAAAGGGGCTTCTGGAGGCACTAAAGGCACATGCAAGGTTCACAGCAGTGTCTGCACAGGCTTTGGGCTGTTTTCCCATTTTAAGGCCTGTGTGGGTTGGTCCCTGGGGCTCAGCATCATGCTCGTGCTGGGGGCAGGATGCTGACCCAGAGGGGACACGGCTCAGCAGAGCCTGGGCACACACCAACAGACACGGCAAGAGCCGAGATGAGATCCTGAGTGTGCCAGCATCAGTATAAATTGCTTTCAGCTCGCGTTGGAGGGGTTGGGGAGGTTTAGGCACCCAATTAAGCTACACATATGCTTAACGACTGCGCCCACTGGAGATCGGGGTCAGCTCTGCGCTGGAGAGCCACGGGGAGACTTTGCAAAAGGCAGCCCGGCTGCCAAGCGGGATCAGTGATGAGCAGAAGAAACTTGTCGAAAGATTAGAAGGGACATCTCAAGCATGAGAAAGCAGCAAAAGGATCGGGGGACCAGATCTGAACAAATCCCTGTTTTGCCTGGAGAAAAAAGAAAAAATATCTCTCTCTTCTTTTTCTGCCTTTTCTCGCTTTTGGCAGAGGAAAAATAAATTCTCCAGCTGTTTGTTTCCTGGCAATAGAAGGGGTGTGAGAAGTAGTGGGGTGTGCATCCAGGCTGGCTGAACAATATCAAACAAGCTGAACAATATCACTTGGCTTAGCTGACCTTCCTGAACTAATATTAGCCTGGCTCCAATTTAGAGTATTCACCACTGAGAGACTCTTGCTGAATGAAGGGTGGGTTTGGGGAGAGAAGAGCTTGTGGCAATTCCAAGAATGGCTGAATTATCCCTTGATTAAATTGTTTCTAGTGAATAATTCATCAGGCGGAAATTCCAAAATAGGACTTTAGGTAGGGAATGTTTGCCAAATAATCTGGGGAGAGGAGCTGGCTAATCCAGCTGGGTAACTCCAGCTCCGCTCTCAGCTACGGGGCTGAGAGTCCGGGGTGAAGGCGGCTTTCCCTCATCCAGCTGGATTTAGGGGGCAAAAGAGAGGAAGAGCGGGATCAAGCAAGGCAGAGGTTGTGTGGTGGGGGTCCCGCTGTTTGGGGCTGGTGGCTTGTGGTGCTCGGGGGGGGGGGGGGGGGAGTGACAGGAAGGGGCCAAGATTTGGGTGGAAGGATGCTTTTTAGGGGAACTGATTTGCACATGGACTTTGTAGCCCCAAACTCCACCCAAGCAAGAGGGTCCGGTGCCCCTTCCCCTCCCCGCAGAGCAGGGCTGTTGTCTGTCCCCCCGTGGCCCATCCACCAAGCCCCCCATGCGGGCTGCGCTGGGGCTGTGTTACCCCCCACGCCCGGCACGGCCGTACCTTGGGGAGCCTGTACTTGTCTCGAAAGTGGGACCGGAACGTGGCCCTCTCCGCCTTGCGCTGGGCAAACTGGGCATCTCTCTCCATCCTGCGAACCACCCAGGGCAGTTACCAGCAGCTGCAGCCCCCAGTCCCTGCGTTTGAGCATCTCTCCCCCCACCTCCCCCCCCCAACCCGGGTAACCCCCCAAAGTCCCAACTCCCCAGTTTTTCCTCTCCCCGGCGCAGCCTGAAAGGAGAAAACAATCCCATCTCTCAGGCGAGGAAGCGGATTAAGGGATTAGGGGGGCTCATTAAACTCCCTCATGGCCCTGCTGCTCCCAGCGCTGTCTCCCCCCGCAGCCTCCCATGCGTGGGACGGGGGGGCTGCAGAGGGACCCCGGGGGTCCGCCCGCCCCGGTCCCCGGTGCCGGTTGCACTTACTTCTCCTCCACCAGCTGCCGCTGATATTCCTCGTACTCCTCACGGGTCATGCCCTGCGCCTCGGCCGGAGACTTCTCGCTCTCGCTCTTCTCCTCGCCGCCCAGGCCCCCCGTCAGGTTTTTCAGCTGTCCCCCCACCATGCTCTTCACCATGAACGCCATGGTCGCGGTCCCCGGGGGCGCTGGGGAGCCGGGGTGCCAAGCTACCGTGGAGCAGGGACGCTGGGAGAACTGGGGTTAACGGGGAGCTGGGGTTCTGGGGTGCCGAGGGGAGGGGGGATGCTGAGTTAGGGGGGGAACGGGGTGAGCTGGAGCGCTGGGGAGGCGATACGGGGTGCTGGGAGTAGGGGGGTTCCCGGGAAGCTGGGGTGCTGGGGGGGGGGGGGCGGTTCCCGGGGTGCCGGAGCACCGGGTTACGGAGGAGCTGGGGTCAGCGGAGCCGAGTTCCCGGAGCACCGGGTGACGGAGCAACCGGGCTCAGCGGAGCCCGGGTCCCGGGGGGGGGGGGGGGGGGGGGGGGCCGGGCTGCCGGCGGTCAGCGGGACCCCGCCGCCTCGCCGCCCATGGCGGGGCCGGGCCGGCCGGGGAGCGGAGCGGAGCGGAGCGGCGGGAGCTGCAGCACCGGGACACGGACAGCTCCGGTGTGTGCGCGGAGCCCGGCGGCACCGCCCCCCGCCTCCCCCCGCCCGGCCCCCGCCCGGCCCCCGCCCGGCCCCCGAGAGGCGGAGCCGCCGCCCCCCCATCCCACCCCGGGGGGGCTCGGAGAATCCCGCACACCCCCCCCCCCCTTCCCATCCCACCCCGGACCCCCCCGGATCCCTCAGCCCCGCCTGTTGCGGGTCCCGGCGGCAGCCCCCCACTACCGGCCCCGGGGATGGATGAAGCCGCGGCGGGGACCACCGTGAGCCCCGCCTGCCCCCTCCCCGGCCACCGCGCCTTCATCTCCTCCTCTTCGGGGACAGCTAGCGATGATAAACAGCCTGGCTGGTTTAGCCCACCGAGGGGCTGCGCTGGAGCAAACCCACAGCAACAGCTTCCCCCCCCCCCCCACCGCCTATTCCCCGTCCCTTGGGTCTGGCTGGAGATAAAAACAGGATTTAGCACTCTGTACAAGCCATATGTACCCTACACGAGGCACAACTGTTGTTTGCTTGTAGATCTAAAAGCTGGCGTGCCCAAAAGCATGTTCCCCTCTTTCCTAGTGGTATTAATTATATTAATTAATATTAAAGCTGCTACCAGCTCCCACAAGCGCCGCCTCGCTGACGTCCCAGCGCCGGCCCAGGGACCCACGCGTTCACCGGACACCTACATCAGGAGGCCGAGGACGGAGCAGGCGTTGATTTCGTTGCAGAATTCCCTCCAGCCCTCCTGCCTCCCCACTCCCACTCCTGCCATTTCCCGTGACTGCAGCCGTGTCGCGGGCCTTGGGGAATGAGCCATTAATGGCATCAGAAACGCACCTCCCTTCCAGATGGCCAGCCTGGCTTTAACATGTATTTCTCCCTTTTTTCTTTTCCACCCAGGAAAAATGAACGTGGATCCAAACCCCAATCCTGGCTTGGGGGAAATAATTTAATTTCCGAAATTTAAAGACAATCTCTGCAGATTAAAATGATGGTACAGCCATGAAGCAATAGAGTAAAGTGATAAAGGGAGGGGGGACTGGCCACTCTTTTCCCTTCCCCCCTTGCCCAAGGTAACACCAAGCAAAAATTTGTCTTAAGAGGAAAATTTAAAAAGAAATCATCTATTTTACTTGGATAATAATCCAGTCAGCAGTTAGGCAGTGACCGCTGCTCTTAGGGATCGGAGCCCACTTTTGGAAGTGACAAAAGGGGATTTGTCCCAGCGAAGGATCTCCAGGGCTATGGCTAAATCCCGGCAGAGCAGAGCCCCCTGAATGACGCCAGCAGTTCCCCTGGGTTCATCTGAAAGTGCCAACCACCTTTCCACACCCAGCCGAGGCACCGTTCAGCACAACTCCAGCGTCACCCACACCACCTCCCCCCCACTCAGATGCCACTGTGGCTGCTGCTCGCCCTGAGTCAGTGCTGAGCTGGCTCCTCATGAGCCCTACCAACCGTTTGAAGCAATGATTTTCATTTTTCCCACTGACCCGCAGACCCCCTAAGCCTTTTCCCACTGACAGCCCATGGAAAAATGCATTTTAACCCACAGTGAGCTTTCACAACCTGCTTAGAAATAGTCTGAGAGCCCCAGGCACTCTGCACTCCCGTTGCCAACAGCGTGTTCAAGTTCTGGCTGTCAGTCAGACAAGGACCAGATGAAAAGAGGGACAGAGAGAAGGAAAAACATCCCTGCTTGTGTCCTGGAGCCGCTTTGCCCCTGGATGCCGGGCAGGTTTGAGCCTTGGGTTGGTTCAGAGCAGACTTTTGACATGGCTGGTCCCAGGAGCTTCGCTCAGGCCGGATTTCTATCTAAGCATTCACTAACAGTAAGAGACTTGAAGTCAGGACCAATTTTTTCCAGCTGGGTTAGATGGGTCAGCTACCACGTAGCCTCCTTGTCTCAGAAACTAAGAGGAAACAGCTCCTGATGAGCAGAAATGCTTGGCCAAAGCAGTTAGGTGAAAATTAGCACGCAATTACCGGCAGCGGCTGGGACTCAGCCACTCGTGGCAGGGATGCTCGCCCACCACGGACGTGCCCCACGGAGGGGGACCATGAGGTTGACCTTTGCAGCCTCTCGCAGCCCAGGGTGCTTGGGGAACTGGTTTTGTAAGGATGGAGCTCGTGGTGATGCTTCGAGGTGGTTGATTTCCCATTTGCTTTTCTTTGGGCAGCTCAGCTGTTCCTTATCCCTGAAATATATTCAAGTAAGAGTGACTCATCCTTCCTCCCAGGACTCTAACCTGCAGTAATGAGATGTAAATCCTTGCTTGACCTATTATATTAGCTTATGCTATATCACACATCTCTGTGGATTAGACGGGAGGGAGATGAAATGTCCCCCAGTAGCAGCCAGTCTCAGACAAGCTGGTGGAAGTTAAGAAGATCTTCTCTCAGCATTGACACCTGATTTGAATAGGATGCAAGCAGTTCGGTTTCCTCTGCCATGGTGAAAAGGATCATTTCAGCTCTTCTTTCCAGGTAAGGGGAGAACTGGCTCCAAAGCCACAGCTGGAAGCTCTCCCCTCAACCCGGGTTTCACCTGATGCTCCAGAAACCCTCTGGAGGGGACCAGAATTGGCTAGGATTTCCTGGAGTGGCTGGTTCTTGGAGTTATCCCGTAGATTGTACAGGGGAGGGGAAGGGCCTGTGACCTTGAGTTGCAATGCAACAGCCGCCAAAGGGCAGCGATCCGATCCTTGTCAGCCTGAAATCCGGGGGAACACAGAGGTTTAAACCTTTGAAGGCCCTAAGTAGGTGAGCTAATCCTGGAAAGACGTGTGTGTGTGTGTGTGTGTGTGTGTGCTGGAGACACGGCGGGGGAGGAAATGAGAAGGTGTTTCTAAACAAAGCAGGCAGCCTCTCTGCTGGGAGAAGTCAGGCTTGCACTTGACGGTTGATTGTCACTTCTTGTGCTGGGGACCTTCTGCTTCTTCTGCTCTTCTTGCACACTTCTTCTGGCCCCGGGCGTGGAGGAGCAGAGTCACCTTTGCTATTCCCACCTGCGGACGGGGATGCCCCAGCGGGTTGGAGACAGGGGGACCCGGCTCTGCCCTTCACTGCCACGCAGCCGGGGAGCTGCCTGCTCCGGGAGCAGGGGTAAGGCATGGTGACATCCACCCCGTGGAGGTGACATCCATCTGGAACGGGCCTGGATGCTCAGCACCCCCTGGGCGGGGAGCTGAAGCCAGCGGTGGGGTCACTCTAGCCTTGAGGAGGGTGGGGGACACTTTCCCCTTTTCTTTGTGGTCTTTTCCAGCAAAAAAGCGATAGAGCAGACACTGATTAAACCTCAGTACTAATTAATCTCTGCTGAAGTGTCTTTTTTTTTTTTTCCATAGAGCAGATGATGAAAGTATGCTGTGTATCCTCACCGGCGCAATCAGCTTCTCCGTGTAAACTACTTAGCTGTAAGAAGGTAACTATTACTCTGTGACAGCTATTAAGAAGTTATTAAGAAAATGCTGAGGTGCTGAAGCACTGGGATGGGGGGGGCAATGCAGAGGGACCTCAGGGGCCACAGCCTGGCTGGAGGGTCCCGGCGCTGTTATGGACCACCGCAAGCTTCAGCTGCCAACAGTTCAGGAGAAAATATCCTGAGGTCTTGGGCATAACATCCCTTCAAAGGGCAGTTCTGCCTAGCACTCACTGGGATAAAAGTGCCACCGTGTCATTAATATAGGGAATAAAGAAAGTTTAGCATAAGGGTGTTGTAAATTATCAAATAAAATTACTTCCTTTCATGTTACTTGAATGTAATTAAATAAAGCTACGTGCGTCTGGCGTTTGCCTCGGCCAAGGAAGATGAAATGCAAGGCAGCTGCCAGCTTTGTATGGAAATGAAATCAAAGCTGCCTTTTTGTGACCTGGGGAGGCCATTTCAATGTAAAGCCTTCCTATTCCTATAGGACCAAGCCTTTAAGTTCTGAAAATCTGTCATCATCACCTAAGGATGAAGAAGTCCCAAAGCGGGGAGGATTATTACTGTTCTTATTTGAGATTAAGACTTAATTATACTCAGGGAGAGCTATATAGCACATAGGGTATAGGTCAAATGTTGCGTCATGTAATGAATTTTTGTTTTTTGAAAGAACTTGTGTTTAATTGTATCCCGGGCTCTCGTGCATCCGTGTGCCTGCGGAGCTGCCCTCAGCGGGGATGTCGCTGCCGCTGCTTGTGACAACATGGGCTGAGCGTGAGAGGGGGCACGAAGGAAGAAGTGGCAAGGTCCTTTACAGGGTTGTGCCCATCTCTTCTCTTTCCCAATATATAACATTTAAAAATTGTATATTGCTAGTATTATTTTGCTAATGAATACCCTATACTGTTCTGGGTGATATGTCTCCCTTAAATCTCTGCTGTGGGCATACACACGTGTATATCCACACAGATGTACACCCACTACAAATTTTTCTGTTCAGATCCCCACAAGCTGAAGACCGTTAGAGCCCTTGCTGCCCAGGGAGGTTTAATGCCAGCCCGTGGAAAGGATCAGTCCCTCCCCATTTGTTTCTGGGCAGGAGGAGGTGCGACAGCCAGGTACCCTGAGAAACCCAGCACGCCTGGCTGGCCGTCCTCCTCCTCGCCCTGGGGTGGCCTGGCAGAGCATCCCCTGGGAGACCCCGGGTGGTACCTGGGAAGGGAAGCCAGGAGTGGGGGTGCTGCTGAGATGCCCCCTCAACTCCCTCTGGACCCTCTGGTCTCGTCACGGCGTCTGAGTGGGCACGGGGCTGCCCAGGCTCAGAATTTCAGAGCAGAGGAATTCGAGTTGTTTGGGGTGGGAAGGGTCCTGCCGGGGCTGTGTGCAGGGGACATACAGCCTGTGTCCCAAGGGATGGGGGGGCTTGGGGGTGCCCTGGGCGCGTTAGCAGAAGAGGAGGGTAACCAGGCAGGGGAGCGGGTCCCAGCACAGATCAGGGTGGTTGTAATCCCTGCCAGCACACGCGCTGGGAGGAGAGATGCTGTTGGGGGACGAGGAAGAAGAGTTTGGGGTTGGAGGCGGAGGGGAGGGTGCTCCCACGGCAAAATCTGCACCCAAGCAGTGACACAAATGTACACGGACAGTCACACAGAGCAAGTAAACAGGCACATGGGGAGACCATGTGCTGCTTCGCTGCTGGTGGTGGAAAGCAAGCCCGGAGCAAAGGCACACGCCAGCCGAAACACACACACGGTCACGCACACGCACAGTTTTCCCACGGGGGATCTTTCCAGCCTTGCCTTCATTTCCTGGAGTGCTCAGAAGGAAAAGCCAGAGAGAGGAGCTGGAGAGGTGAACGACACCGAACGGTGACGGGAATGGCTTTGTACACCACGCTAAAAATAGTCCTGGTGATAAAGTCAGCGGCGGAGGGGGAGGAGGTGCAGGCAGTGCACAGATGCCGGCGAGGTCTGCCAGCGGTTTGGAATCCCGCACAGCAAGGATGGAGCAGAAGGAGCCTCGTCGGGGCCGTAATTAGCACTGGTAATTTGCTCCAAGCAGCCCTGAGGGGATTAAGCAGTGGGCAGCTTGGGAGGGAGCCTGCCTGGAGACTGTTACGCCCCCTCCTCTTGGGATGGACGGTTTGCAACCCTGGGAAATGGGAAGCAGCGAGCGATTGCTGCAGCTGGAATTGCGCTGCGAACAGATGGGCGCTCTGGTTTCTTTTGCAGTGAGTCTGGGGTGGTTGTTTTGATGTTGTTGTTGTTGTTGTTTGTTTGTTTAGGGAGAGGAAGGCTCGCCGCATCTCTGGGGCTCTCGGGGTAAGGGGGAGAAGGCAGGCAGGGGCTGGGACACGGGGAAGGCGCTCAGGGGAGAGCCGAAGCAGCAAGAGCCCTGATGGAGAAGGGAGAGGGTATCCGCAGGGAGCGGAGGGCAGCAGGGCAGGGGCTGAAATTTCAGGAGCTTTTTAAACCCTGTGTCTCTGTCCTCCTTGCGTGCCAAGTGGCAAAGGCCTAGGGAGAGGCGAGGTCCCTTTGTGCCCTTGCACCCCGGAGCTGGGAGTAGCTCCCTGCCTGCTCTGGCCGCTGACGATTCACGCTGAGGACTTGAGGCAGGACGGGAGCTGACACAACCGGGCCCAGTGCCAATCTCCCCATCGACGATGGGAGGAGGAGGAGGAGGAGGAGGAGGAGGAGGAGGAGGAGGAGGAGGAGGAGGAGGAGGAGGAGGAGGAGGAGGAGATGTTGTGAGCCGGCACCCGTTAGCCACAGTAGCCCCTGGGTGTCACACGGGAGCCGGCAGCCTGTCCCCTCTGCCCACGCTGCTGATGGGTTCACAGCTGATGGAAACGACCCCCCAAATTCCTGGGGGGAAATCACCTAGTGGGATACAGGCTGTCCTTGGCTGTGCCTCACTGGGCAGCAGCCCAAAGCAGTGGGACACGCACACACCCCCCCACCCCCAGAGACAGGAGGCAGGAGCAAACAAACAGCCCTGCATGGGGGAAACTGAGGCACGGATGCTGGTGGCAGGAGGGGCTTGGCAGCATTAAGGTCCCTTCTTCGCCATGAAGAATGGGATTTCTTACAGCAGTCTTCTCTCAGCATCCTCCAACTCCACCCCGGAGGATGCTGAGGGTGTCTGTATGGCACCCAACAGCCCCCAAAGCCCCTCTCCTGCCCATGGGACCGGGCACAGTCCCAGAGGTCGGCAGCGCGGTGACATTTAGAGGGAAACCAAAGGTCTAAATGGGTTTTGGGTTAGGTTTTCTCTCCCTTTTTTGATGGCTGGCAGGGGCCCATCGGCCAGCAGTAACCCAGGGCAAGGGGATGCAACAAGGGACCAGACCAAACCCCCTCCCTGCTCTCTGTTGGCTACCATCATATGGGGGTGCTGGGTGTTTCTCGCCGTTTCAAAAGCCACGTTTCTTGCAGGCTTTGCCTGTAAACGACTTTAATCTTTGTAAGCCCGAAAAGTAAAGCTGCTTATATGGCTAGGGCCTGCTGGAGCGCTAGGAGGAATGGGGAGGGGGGGATGCAGACAAGAGGAGGCGGAGGGGTTAGTCCAGGGGAAATGAAATCCTACAGAGGATGAAGCCCCATCACATCCCTGTCCTGTCCCCCCCAGCCACCCCGAGGTCTCAGGAGAAGGGGGTCGGGAGCACTCAGCTTCTGTAGCTACAGCCACCTCCCCTCCACAGCAAAGGGCTCTGTCTCAGATCCCCCCAGCTTTTTCCTTCAAACTCCCCCCCCCCCCCCAAGAGGAATCTCGGTCCCAATCCTGGCCCAAACCAGAGCAAGAGCTCCCGACTCCAGCTTGTGACCCAGGCAGCCAGTAAAGCCAATGCCCTGCTCACCGTTTAACGCTGAATAATTCTTCAGGGATGAAGGGAACTATTTTAAACCTGCTGAGCGCTGTGCGCTGGATGCCACCTCCACCCGACACCCTTCGAGAGAGCAGGGACGCTGCGGGGACAAGTCCTTAGGGGTTGGGGGTCTGGGACATGGCCAGGGAGGGGGGGGGGACGGGTCCCATCTTTAGCTCCTTGGCCGAGTCAAGCAGGGTAGAGAAGAAGGTCCAAAGATCCACGGATCAGCCCCAAAATGCATCTCCAGACCTTCCCCCGGCCGGACCAAGCATCTTCAAAGGTGGAGGATAAAGCCTGGCTTAAAGGGAAGCTTTGCCAGCATTTGGCAGCTTCATCACTGTCACAACCTCACCAGTTCTCATGGGCAGGGTGGAGCCAAGTGATGCCCAGGCTGCTCATCCCAGGTATGTGGGGACCCCGGGCGGAGTTTGGGGGACCGTCCCCACCTTGTTACCCTGCCAGGCAATCCCAGGACCCCCAGGGCACTCTGTTCTCCCCCCGCCCCAGGACTGCATCCCATGGGAGCAGAGACAGAGGGGCGGTGAGGCGGGATGTGCCGCGTCCGTATGGAATGGTTTTTTTTTATTACAGTTTTAATCTCACAGTCGGTAGCATTACATGAGAATAAAGCACTGGACAGGACTGGAAAAAAAGGCCTCTGGAGACAGCATGCAAACGTTGCAACGAGTTTAAAGCAAAACAACCCAAAAAAAAGCGTCTCGCGGGGACGCGGCCGCGCTCTCCCGACCGGGCGGCGAGTCCAGCGTCTCCCCTTTAACCATCACTTCTGTCGTTGGGGTTTCCTTTTCGTGTGTCCGTTTCATTGGCTTATTTATTTTATTATTATTCTTCTTTTATTAACCTTCTTCTCTCTCTTTTTTTTCTTTTTTTTTTTTTTTTTCTTCTTTTAATTACATTAAAAAATAAGATTCGTACTTTAGTAAAATGCCCAGTGCATAGCTGGGACCTGCTTGAAATAATAAAAAACAACCAAAAATAAAACCAAAACAACAAAAAAAACCCCCCAAAACTGAGAAAAGAACAACAACAAAAATAAAACCACCCAAAACGCCAAAACAAAGAGCCTCGGAGACCAAAAAAAAAGATCCCCAAACCTGAAAAAAAAAAAAAAAAAAAAAAAAAAAAGACTGATTTGGAAGTTTGGAAGCAACCGGGAGAATTAGGGGTGGGGAGAAACACCCCCAGGGCTCCCTCCCAGCCGCTCCCGGTGCCAGGGCTGGGCAGGGGGGGCTGCCCACACCCTGAGGGTCCCCCCCGCCCCGCCCCAGCGTGGGTCCCCTCCGGCTGCCGGGGTGGGTGAGCCCCCCCCTCACAGGTAGAGCTCCTTCTCTTTGATATGCACTAGCTGTTCGCGGAGCTGGTGGAAGGACGGCCGGTGGCCGGGGTCCAGGGTCCAGCACTTCTTCATCACCTCGTAGACGACGGCGGGGCAGCCGTCGGGAGCATCCATCTTATAGCCCTTCTCCACGCGGGGTACCACGTCCTTCAGGGGCTGGGGGTACAGGGGATGGGTTTCAGGACGGGGGGGGCCTGGGTTCCTCCCCTCTCCCCCCCAAAACCAGCCCTGAGGGGAGGGGGGGTTGTCCTCACTTACGATTCTCGGATAAGGCACTCGCCCGAAGGAGTAGATTTCCCAGAGGAGGATCCCGAAGCTCCACACATCCGACTTGGTGGAGAATTTCTGCAGGGAGGGGAGAGAAGCCTCGTGAGCGGGCTCAGGCAGGGATGGGGGGGCAGCAGACCTTCCCCACCCCCTCAGGGCAGCTGTTTTTTTTTGGGGGGGGGGGGGGGGGTCAGGCAGCAGGACCTGGGGCTCAAGCACCGTCTCTGCGTGGAAAAGTTAGGGCAGCCCGGGATGTGGCTGCAGCCTCCAGCATGTCCCCGCAGCCCGGAACCCCCCCCCCCACTCTGCTCACCCACCTTTTCTCTAAGTGCTTCTGGTGCCGTCCACTTCACCGGCAGCTTCCCCGTGTCCTGCGTGGAGGAGGCTTCCTTGGTCAGCCCAAAATCGCTGACCTTCGCGATGTTGTCCTCCGAGACCAGGACGTTCCTCGCCGCCAGGTCCCGGTGGACAAAGTTGTTGGCTTCCAGGTACTCCATGGCTTCACAGACATCTCTGGTTGGGGCGGGAGGGAGAAGGGGGGGGCTTAGCGAGGTGACCCCAAAACGCCGGTGGGTGCAGGTCAGGGCGGCCGGCCCGGCTGTACTTACAAAGAGAACTTCAGCAGGCAGTCTGCACCGAGGACCGACCGACCGCGCGACCGCAGGTAGTCTACTAGGCTGCCCTGGAGGGATGGAGAGAGACGGTGAGACCAGGGCCAGCATCCCACCCACCGCCCCCTCCCACGTGGGGCAGGACCCGGGGAAGACGTCCCTCCCTCTCGGAGCCAGCGATGCCACCCCCAAACACCACGGTGGCCCCAGGGAGAGCTCACCCAAGCTGGGCCTGCTGGGGTGAAGCCCTGGGGGGGTGCTTGAGGCTGGGGGGGGGAAAAGGGACAGAGCTGGAGGGCAGGTGTCCGGGGTGGGGGTGGTCTCACCTTGGCCATGTACTCAGTGACGATGTAAAGGCCGCTCTTCTCCTCCACGATTACACCCAGGAGCTGGACCAGGTTGCTGTGTCGGAGCTGCCTGCGCGGTGCAGGAGGGCTCAGGGCAGGGTTTTGGGGAGAAGGGGTGGGGGGGCTCCCACAGTCCCTGCAGGGCGTCGAGGACCACCCGCCTCTGCTCGTAGGGACAGAGGTGCCCCCTCCCTTTCGTTGTGTCCCCCCCCACCTCCAGTAACACTCACGTCATCACGGATGCCTCCGCCAGAAAGGCTTGCGCTGTGGCGTCGTTTTTAATGCACTTCACGGCGACTTTGTTCCCCCGATAATCCCCCAGCATCACATCTGCGGGCCAGGAGAGATGGGCACGGGAGGCACTGGGGTCCCACCATCACCCCGGGGTGGGTGGCAGAGGAGCTCACCCCCCTGCCCCCCCCCCCCCCCCCCACTTAGGGCCACCGCGGTGTTGGGGACACGGGGCTCACCTCCAAATTCCCCTTTGCCAATGATCTGCAGCAACTTGAGGTCCTTCATGTTGAGGGCCCAGCCGCCTGCGTGGGGGACAAGGGAGAGTGAGGGGGTGCTGGGGGGGGAAGGGGGTGCTCCCCAGGAGCTGAGGAAGGGGCACGGCCACTCACTGCGGGAGAACTCGTCCTGCGCTGCCACCGTCCCCTCCATCACCTTCGGTTTGATGAGGCGGGTGCAGAGCCCGTCTGCGTCCGTGGTGTAATGCTGGGGGGGGGGGGACGGAGACAGGGGTGAGAGGCAGGCCTGCCGCGGTGGGGGGTGACACCCTGGGGTGGGGGGTCCCCGCCGAGGCGGTGCCGGGCTCTGGGATCCCACCAGGTGGCAGCACGAGGCCACGGATGGGCCCAGTGGGTGCTGGGGGGGCGGCGCCGGGGGTGTCCCCATCCCTCCCCCTGGTCCCTCCGGTCCCTGCGCATCCTGCCCTGTCCATCCAGCCACCCGCTTTGTCCTGCCCCCCATCCCCCCTCATTACCCCTGGGGGTCTGTCCCCAGCAGCCCCAACCCAACCCACGGGGTCAGCCCACCATCCTCTGGGCTCAGACCTGCAGCCCCACAAGCTTTGACCCGTAGGGGTGTGTCGTCCCCCCCCGCCCCCCGCTGCCACCAACCTCAAGTCCCCAGGCTGGCAGAAGGGGACAGGAGCAGTGGCAGTTCCTCACCTCCACCAGCTGCATGAGGTTTTCGAAGTAGACCTCCTCGTCGATGCTCAGCTTGCTGGAGGAGTAGATGATGCGGTAGTGCTCCACCTTCCCCTCGCAGCTGACGCACAGGGTGTAGTCCCCGGGGTAGTTGGTGCTCTCCCGCACCAGGAAAAGCCCCGTCTCGGGGGGGTACAGCAGCCTCTCCGCCTGCTCCCGCGTGATCTTCCCGTGAAACCACCTGCAAACGGGGCACGCAGGGCAGGTCAAGGACCGGGGACGCGCCGGCCGGACCCCCGTAAGGCCGTGTTTGGGGGGGGGAGGGAAGATGGGGACGTGGAGCAGCCTTCATCCCCGTCTGCGTGGGGCCAGCTTGCTGTCCCCATCCAGCCCGTGACAGAGCTCCTTCCAGGGTGTCCTGCTCCCCAACCTGGGACTCAGCCCCTCTGCACGCCCTGGGGGGCTTTCTCCCCACAGCAGCCCTGGCTCCTCCAGACTGGGGGTCACTGGTGGCTCTGGGATGCGGTAGGGACATCAAAACCAACCATCCATCCATCCATCCATCCATCCACCCAACCACCCACCCACCCACCCATCCGTCCACCCACCCGCCCGCCTGTCTATCTCCTATCCCTCCCGTACAGACCCCGTTGCAACCCCGCTCCTGTCTCCCAGCACCCTTGACGACCAAAACTTTGGGTAAAAGACCCATTTTGACGTGCGATCCAACCACCCATCGCCTTCCCAGCTCCGCAGGCAGCTCCAAAGCTGCTCAGAGCTTTCCCCAGCAGTAGCGGGTCGCAAATCAACACCCCTGCCCCTTCTGCCTTTCCACCCCTCTTCTGTTGGGACACGGGACATGAAGTCAACCTGGTCTTGACACGGTGGGGATGCTCCAGACCAAGCCAGCTCCTCCCAAATTTGCCGTGGCAGAGTCCCCAGCGGATACTCACGGCATGAGGCTGAGCTTGATCCCAGCTTTCACTCCTTCCCGCTTCTGTACGTAGTTAGCGGGGATGATGCCCTCCCGGCCCACCTTGTTCTTCGCCTTGTACCAATTGGGATCCTGCGGGGACAGCAGCAATGTCACGATGAGCCCACAGCCCCTGGAGTCGGCGGCATCCCACCCAAGGAGCCCACGGGGGTGTCAGCGATGCCCCCCCGCCCCTGCCCTTTCCCAGGCAGCTGCCCCAAGCAACCCCGGCAGCCCCTGCCTGGCTGCAGGCAGCACGGGGTGGGCAGGGGACAGCCATGGAGGTCGGGGTCGGTGCTGGGGCCAGCAAACCCCGATGCTGGTGGCCCTGCAGGGCTCACGGTGGTCCACCTCCCAGGCTGCCGGGCGTCCCCAAGCCCCCCGACCCACAGCCCCACTCTTTTTCTCTCCCGGCGCCAACCACAGCATCGCTCCCCGATTCTGAGCCTCTCCCCTCCCTCCTCCGCCTCCCGGCAGGCACTCGAGAGGCTTACATTTCGGAGAAACCTTAACTAACGAGGCCATGAATTAATTAACCAAACGCGTGGCCCGATTCCTGCCCTGCTGGCTCCGCAGGACTTCCAGCGGGACCAGGGGATCCCAGCGGCATGGCAAAACCCCGTCGCACGGGAGGCAGGGATGCTCCCGGCATCCCGTGGAAATCCCGGCGTGGGGGGTGGCAGCAGCAGCTGGGGGGGGGGGTGTGGGGGGTGCGGGGGGGTGCTGTGGGGAGGCGATGGCCTTACCTTGGTGACAGCGACAATGGTAAGGACGTCTCCTTTGCTGAAGGGCAGGTCCTGCTCGGCGGTACCGTGGAAGTTGTACTTGGCGATACATTCTGTACCAGATGGCCAAACGGCCTGGCCGGGGAGAGGGGGACAGTGTCAGAGCTCGGCTGGGGACATCTCCCACCCCCAGCCCCCCTCGACCCACAGGGACACCACCCCCCACGGGCACACACGGCTCCCGTCCCTCTGATGCAAACCCCACTTAAAGCAGAAGCAGTCTGTGGGATTTGGGGCAGCCCGGGAAGCTCAGGTGGTGTTTTTTGGCTGGGATGGGGATGGAGAAGGACACACACACACACACACACACAAATCTGCAGGTCCGGTGGTGCTGGGCTTCTGCAGGGGCACCGAAGGAGGGGGACAAGTGTCCCCATGTCCCTCCTGAGCCCTGGGGGCAGCCCTGAACGGCTGGAGACCCCGCTCCATCCCTGCCCCTTCCTCCCCGCCCGGTGCTTACCTGCATCCCTGACATCTTCTCAGGAGGTTGGGGGGTGCGAATCTCACAGGGGGGACGCGTCACTCGGTACCATGAGACCTGGAGGGGGAAAGGACAACTGAGAACCGGGCACGGCGGGGAGGGCTGTGTAAGGACGATGCACGGGGAGCAGCCCCCCCCCAGCAGAGGATGCTCCTCGGACCACTCGAGCATCTCTTCTACCACACCAAGAAGGAAACCGGTCCTGCCTGAGGCGCTGCTTCCAAAATGTCCCCAAACCGGTGTGAAACTGGGAGCTCTGGGTCCGCTCAGCACCCACCCCCCCCCCGCCCCCTTCCTCCACCCGGGGACCGGACCGGCGCGGAGCTGCTCACCCGGATTAGAAGGCATTTGCACGGATACAGCTTCTTAAGAGCAGAGGTTTTACATGCTGCGTGGCCACCGCAGCATCTGCATCGACAATCCAAGGCAAAAAAAAAACAAAAAAAAAAAAAACAAAAAACCCAGCACGGTGCAGCGGGACGCGGTTCCCCAGGGCGGGGAAGGGAGCAGAGATGATCTCTGGGAGCAGCTGAAGCCCGTTCCCCAGCCCGGGGTGGTTACTGCACCGCGGTGGCCAGTTGTGAGAAGCTTCAAACCTTGGAAAATCCACCCCCCCCCACCCCCAGCCTCATCCTGCAAAGCCTCCTCCTCCCACCTCCAGGGGCTGCCGGCAAGGCGGTTCATGGTCCCCGCGGCACTGAGGGGGAAACTGAGGCACGGGGCAGTGAGGGGATCCAGCCAGCGAGGAGAAACTCCCCCGAACCCCACGCTCACGCCTCAGCGAGCATCTTGGTCCCCTCCCCGGCAGCACCGGGGGCCACGCAGCCAGAGCCCCGCTCTCCCACGGTGCCTGGAAACATCCCGCCCTGGGAGCTTCCCAGGCCCGGGATCCAAAAGAAATAAAATTAAATCTTTTCCCTGCAGGACAAAACCCATCGCGACCCTGGGACAGAGGAGCTCCCGCCAGCTCCTAAATCCCAGGGGGATGCACTGACCGGGGGTGCTGTGCTTCTTACACCCCCACCCCCCCCGGAAGCACCCCGAGGCCCCGGGCTGGGTCGCATCCTGCCCCGACGCGTGGGAGGGGAACAAACCCGGCTTTATTCTCGCCGCTTCGACCCCCGGGAAAGAGATGAAGTCACCGGCCCCGGCACCAAACCAGGCTTTCTTGGGCCAGGGCGCTGGGGTCGCGCCGGGCTGGGGGCACGGAGTGGGATGGAGGCAGGGCATCCCTGCCCGCGCGCCCCAAAACCCACCCGGGTATTTATTAACTCAGCGCATCGATTCGGGGCCATCAGCAGCCACCGCTCCCAGCCCTGCTGTCAGCAGCTCGTAATATTTTGGGAAGGAGGAACTGAAACGAGGGGGCAAGGCCGGCAGAGACGGGAGGAGGAAGAAGATAAGGGGCAGAACCTTGGGGAGGAAGAGAGCGGGTGAGAACGCGGCCCCGTTTCCACCGCAGCCATGCCTGGACCCCCCCGGAAAGGGGGCCACGCTGCCACCACCTCACTCACCTTCCCCCCAGAGCAGGGACACATCACAAGTCGCTTTATTTTTGCCATCAGAGAGGAGAAATTGAGGCTCAGACACTCACCCTAAGGACAGGGTTTGGCGACCCGAAGTTGAGCGTTGGGGTTTCCAGTGACGCCCATCGCCGCAGCCTCTGGGCCCCATGTGTCAGGCTGGTTTTCTTCCCAGCCAGCACCGGGGCTGTTGATGAAGAAAAGCCTCTCGAGGTGGCACCCAAACCCAACTTGATGGCGTCCATGAGGCCGGGGACACTGCCACGGTGGTGGCCAGGACCCAAGGGAGGGCAGCGCTGGGTGACGCTGGACCAGAGAGCATCAGCTGGGAATGCAGCCCCCCCCCCCGCCCCGAAACGGCCCCAGCTCAAACTCTCTTTTCATTTCCAAGCTGATTTTTGATTAAATTCTGAATTTACACCTGGTGTGGAGCAAAAATTTCAGCAAAGGGTCCGGTTACTGCCAGTCCGAAACACAGCCCAGGAAAAACAGGGAGCAAACTACATCCCTCCATCTCCCCGTAGAGGGATCCGGCTACAGTCTGGAAGAAACTGGTTTTAAAGGAGGTGCCCCTGCATCCCTGCTGAGGGAATTTCCCACTGCCGAGGTTTACAGCCCTCCTGTTCCCCATCCAGCACCCCGTGGGGACGCCGAGCAGAAGCCAGCCCCGGGTGTTGCTCAAGGAACAGCTCGTCCCCAGCGTGCTGAGTCAGCACTTCCCACCAGCCGGGCGCTCCGACCTCGCTATTTTAAAATAAGGAGAAAAAGCAGCAGGATGGTGGTTTCGTCCGAGATGTGACGCCAGCTGGAAAATCCCGGCCGAGCTTTGCCCACCGGGTGCCGGGGAGCATCACCTGGAAGGGATGCCCGCGGGCCCGTCCCAGCACCGCGGCCCACCTGGAGGTTGGAAAAGCCATTTTCCACCCCGCCCGAGAGCCGGATCCTTCCGATCCCGAAGGCCGGCTGTTTGGGCTTTCAGCTCACGAGTGTCACCATTTATAAAATATAAATGCAGAAAGGATACAAAATTTATAGCCTGCCTTCGGGCTTTCAAGCCTTTATGAAGAGTATTTTTTTTTTTTTCTTTTTTAAAGAAGAAACCGTCCCAGCAAACCCCGGTCAAGAGGAACACGCTCCCGCCAGTCCCAGCATTTTTACCTCCCTGAACCGTGGGCAGCCGTGACATCAGACGGTGGCATTGTTATAAATATAGCACAAGAAATTTGCTTATCAGTTTTAACAGCCCCGGGAACTGCTCTTTGCAGAGCCCCTGATGCTCCCTTCTACATTTCAGCGCAGCCCTCCTTCCTTCCGAGGGCGACTTTTAAGCAGCAGCCTGAATTTTTTTTTGTTGTTTTTTGAATCGTTACCTAATTTCTGCCTCAAAGCCGAGGCTTTCCGAAGAGGAGGAAACCACACGCCCCCCCCCCGAGAGCACCGGGCTCGGGGGCCGCTGCCAACCGGCCCCCCGAAGGCACCGCTGCCTGCGGTGGCCTCATGTGACAGCCAGCGGTTCCTGCCGAGCGCGTCACCCGCCGTCACCCAGGCCGGCCCCAACCTCGTGCCCGCGTTCGCTTCCGCCATCCCGGCTTATCCCTGCGGGATGCGGGGCCGGGAGAAGGATGCCGTGACGCCGGCGGGCGTGGAGCCTAAAGGCAGCATCCCCTGCCTTCCCCGCCGGCGAGCTCCCGGGGAAACACCGGCACCGACCCTTGTCCCTCAAAGCAGAGGCGCTTCCCCGAGGAGGAGGCGTAGCAGCAGAAGGCAGCTTGAAGAAAATAAATAATAATTTTTAAAAGTAGCCAGGGAGCAGCCCAAGCGATCCAGCAGAGCCGAGTGCCAGGTTTGGGGTTTTTTCAGCCCTGCCAGGCGAGGGTTGCGCTCCCCTGGAACCTCCCCATCCCCAAAGAGGGGCTCGGGGAAGCAGCCAGGGCGCGCAGGTGAACCCACCAAACTTTTCTCGGGCGAAAACCACCTCCCTTTCTTCCCCACCCTCCGGCCGAGCATCCTTCAAGCCGCTCTGCCCAAGCACCCCAGCGGGGAACCTCAGCTTGATGCTGCACCCCAAGAAGGGCCGAGGTTCATGCTCATCCCCACTGTGCCCCTTCCCAGCCCTGCTCCTGGATTTCCCTCCGGGGAGCCCGGCTTGGCAGCCAAGAGCCGGGGAAGGCAGGCAGGGCAGGAACGGCAAATACCTTTGCCACCCTGATAATCCAAAGGGCACCAGGGAAACGAGCTGGGGAAACCTTTCCTCTCATTAATCACCAGTCAAAATAGTGCTGTGCCAAACCCACAGGCAGGCTGGGGCCAGTGCCCGGGGGGAATTTGGGACCCCCCAGACCAAATACCACGCGAAGAGCATCAGCACCATGAGATGGGTTGGGGAAAAGACGCCGCATTTCCATTTCAAACCTAATTAGCCGGAGGGAAACAGGGAGCAGGCCCTACCCAGCACCAGCTGTGGACGACTCTATTTGAAATAAAGTTTAGTTGTAGACGGGAGGAAAGCTTCATTCCCGTTGGGAATAGGCACGACGTGGGCACCATCCGCATCCACCCCGCTCCCCTCATCCATCTCATGCTCGCCGAAACATCTCCCAATGCTCAACAACCCGAGTTTCTTTAAACTTCAAAAAAAAAAAAAACCAACCCAAAACCAGACAACATCCTCACTCTCTCCAAAAGATCTTATCACCTGTTATTACAAGTAACACCTACGATTACTATAATCGAAAGAAAAACGTTCCTCCTTTATCTCATCAGCGAGCTGGCTGCACTCACAGGGAGGGTTTCACTGCTGCTCCCCTGGCTGCCCCACCGGGGGAAAAGGGGGGGTCATCCTTCTTTTTTTTTTTTTGCCTTTTTTTTTTTTTATTTCCTTCTTCTAAAAAGAAAAAGAGAAGATGTTGCTGTTCAGACCGCAGAAGGTGCCTGGGGGATAGTCAGAGGCAGGTGGAGGCCCAGAGAGATGCTGCTCCCGGCCTCCCCATCGCGGAGTGGTTTTCCTGGTCCTCCTCTTTCCTACAAAAAAACTCATCAGGGCAATTTTCTGGCCTCGTTACCCCACAAATCGCGCCAACATCTCCTTCCCAGGTCCCGGAGAGTGCCAGGGTGTCCCCGGGGACGGGCACGTGGTACAGAGAGGAGCGGCTGCCGGTGAAGCTGCCCCAGCGCGGGCTTGGGGCACGCCAGGATGCAGTTGAAAGGTTTCATTTTTGCAAACACCCACCCAAAACCAAAAAGACGGTGGGGAGGCAACGGTCACAGGGCGAAGCACACCCCAGAACTCCTTGGGTGTACAGGGAGAGCATCCCAGGGGGGTTACCCCGGTGCCGCTCCCCATCGTGAGGCTTTGCTCCATCACTACCATCCCGCTGCTGCTCAAAAGAGGGACGGGGACCCCCTTCTCCCAGGGGTGCTCCCGAAACCTCCCGCATCCCTCCACTGCGCTCCCACGGACCTCTCTCTGCTTTGTCAGGATCGGGATGGGCTCCTGCATGGGTCCAGTGGGAATAAACCCTGTGGGAGCGTGGAGGGGCAAGATCCCCTCTGTCCCAGGAAGAAGGCAGCCATCCCCCTCCTCCCATTCCTCGGCCCTCACACCTTCGGTTTTAAATTTTTTTTACTTTTTTTTTTTTTTTTTTTTTTTTCTGCACGATGGCACAGCCCCTTTCGCTCTCAATAAACCTACAAGCAACAGCCGCGGCTATAAATAACCCGTCACCGCCTTATTGACCAAAAAAAAAAAAAAAAAAAAAAAAAAAAAAATCGCCAAAAAAAAAAAAAAAAAAATTGCTCCCAGCCCCTTCTGAAGCCCGGACCACGCTCCCTCCTTCCGCCCCTACCGCTCTCAAAAACCCCGCCAGCAGCTCGGGGCTCGGCCTCCCGGTACCAAACCGACCCCGGCCTTTGTATCGCACGGGGATGGAGCGGGAGGGAGAGGTGGCAGCCCCCCCTCGCCGGGTAGCGGGTTTGGGGGTGAGGCGACAGCCCCCCCCCCCCCCCCCCCAGCTCCCAAAGAGAAGGGGGATGCCGCTGGGGTCCCTCCATCCCCGGAGCTGGAAGGATGCGGCCCCCCGGCTGGGGGGGGGGGGGATGATGGGGTCCCTGGGGACAGTCGCCGAGCGGGAGCAGGAGCGGCCTGCGAGGGGGTCACCCACCGGGTCAACCGGGACGGAGGCGGCTGTACCCCCCCCCTTCCCGCGCCCCCCCCCCATCCCCCGGCCCGCCCCGCAGGCCCCATTGTCTGCGCTCCCGCTGCCGCCGCGCCCCCGGCCCCGCTCCCCCCACAACACGGCGTGGCGGGGGGGGGTGGGGGGGGTGGGATGCAGCGTGGGGGTGGGGGGTTGGGGTGGGCGAGGACCTCCCGATGTCTTCCCGCCGCCCACATCCCAAACACCACCGCCCCCCTCCCCCTCCCCTTTCCCTTTCCCCGGGGGGGGGGGGGTCCCCCCGGGGCGGTGCGGGGCCGGGCAGCGGCACTCACCTCCCTCCGGGCAGGGGGCTCAGCCCTCCGCCGGGTGCTCCATGCGGCGCTGCCGGGGCCTCCGGGCTCGGCTGGGCCGGCGGGGGGGGCGCGGGGGGGGCGGAAGGGGCGGAGGAAGCCGGAGCCGCCGCCGCCGCCGCCCGGCGGGGCCGAGCCCGGTGCGGCGGGGAGCGGGCGCGGCGGGGCTGGGGGGGGGCGGAGGGGGGGGCGGGGGGGGGGGACGGGTTGGTTAAGGGGGGGGTGCGAGGCGGGGAGTTGGGGGGGGGGGGGGGGGGAGCGGCCCGTCCGCCGCCCACCTGGGGCCGGGCGAGGGGCGCGGGGGTGCCCCCGGGGCGGCGGGGCCTGGTGCGAAGGAAGCGGCGCCCGGAATCGGAGCGCCCCGAGCAGCGCGCCTGCGCCGGCGCGGAGCGGAGCGGCGGGGCACGGCGCGGGGCCGCCACCTGCCGGGCACCGCCACCGCCACCGGGACCCGCACCCGCACCGGGACCGGGACCGGGACCCGCACCGGGACCCGCACCGGGACCGGGACCGGGACCCGCACCGGGACCCGCACCGGGACCCGCACTGGGATCCACACTGGGATCCGCACCGGGACCCGCACCGGGACCGGGACCCGCACCGGGACCCGCACTGGGATCCACACTGGGATCCGCACCGGGACCGGGACCCGCACCGGGACCCGCACCGGGATCCACACTGGGATCCGCACCGGGACCGGGACACGCACTGGGACCCGCACCCGGACTGGGACCCGCACCGGGACCGGGACACACACCCTCACAGGGACCCGCACCGGGATCCGCACCGGGATGCGCACTGGGACCGAGACACGCACTGGGACCCGCACCCACACTGAGACCCACACCGGCTCTGGGACTCGCACCCACACCGGGACCCATACCAGGACCGGGACTGGGACCCACACCCGCACAGGCACCCACACCGGCACCCGCACCAGGGCCAGGACCCTCACAGGGACCCACACCCACACTGGGACCCTCACCGGGACCTGCACTGGGACCCACACCCACACTGGGACCCTCACTGGGACTGGGACCCGCACAGGGACCCACACCAGGACTGGGACCCGCACCCACACCGAGACCCACACCGGGTCTGGGACTCGCACCCACACCAGGACCCACACCGGGACCCATACCCGCACGGGGACCCACACCAGCACCCGCACCAGGGCCAGGACCCTCACAGGGACCCACACCAGGCCCTGGACCGGGACTGGGACCCACAGCGGGACCCGCAATGGGACCAGGACCCACAGAGGGACCCGCACCCACACTGGGACCCTCACCGGGACCTGCACTGGGACCTGCACCCACACTGGGACCCTCACTGGGACTGGGACCCACACAGGGACCCACACCCACACCGGCACTGCCCCAGCCCGGCCCCGACACTGGGACCCACACCCGCACCACACCGAGCCGTGCTGCCCACCCGCAGCCCAGGTCCCATGTCAGCCCCCCAGTTCCTGCATGGGCTGGGGGGACCTGCTCAGCGGGTGCTCGCACGGGCACAAAATAGTACTGACATAATACTGAGATAACACTAAACTACTAATAAATAGTAAGGCGGCAACAACAACTAATAATAAAATGCTCAAATAACAAAATAATCATATATAACAAAATACGGCATAATACAACGTAACGTAATGCAATACAACATAAGATAATTAAGCATAAAAAAACATAGTGTAACAATGTAGCATAATATAATGTAGCATAATAAATACAAAAATATATAGTAAAATATATAATAATGATATAGAATATAATAGAATTAAATAATTTATAAATTGATAGAATATGTAATGTATATAACAATATGGTGCTATTCTATTATTTTTATATCATACCATATTATATCTTGTATATCATATCATATCTAGATGATCTTTAAGGTCCCTTCCAACACAAACCATTGTATGCTTCTATAATATTTACAATGGCAACATTAATAATACTAATTATAACAGTAATGATGATGATGGTGATGGTGATCGGGGGTGAGGGCGGTGGGGTCCGGCTGCAGCAAGCTGCGCTGGGAGCAGGGGGACCCCCGGGCTGGGCACCCCCCCCGCCACCTCCCTCCCTGGCCAACTGCAGCGTCTGGGTGTCTCCGGGGGGGGATGGTGGGGACGGCGGGGCCCCCAACCTGCCGACGCGCCCTCGGCGCGGGGCCTGTCCCGGGGGGGACTGGAAAGAGGGGTGGGAGAGGGGAAAGGGCGCTTGGGCAGCCCGAGGTGCCGCCGGCCGCCACCGCGCTGTCCCTCGGCACGGTCGGGTACCACCTCCATCCCCAGCCCACCCGTTCCCCCCCCGGGGGACGTGGGTGCTGGGGCGCAGGGCGGTGCTGCCCAGGCGGAGGGTCCACCCGGGACCAGAGACACCCACACCCCCCCGTCCATCTTTCCGCCGAGAGGCCCGTGGGAACGCCGAGGCGCGACCGTGTCTCGCCAGCACCGAGGTGGCTGTCACTTCCTGCCCCGCCGCTGCCGCCGCCATGCACAGCAAAGCAGGAAGCCCGGGCCCCCTTCCATTTTTTGGCTACCCCTCGCTTCTCCCTGTGCTTCAGCATCCCCCCCCCCCCAAACACACACACACACACTAAGGCACGAGTGACCAAAAACCATCCCAGCCACGGGGGACGGTGCCAGCGGCTCCGCTGAAGGGTGGCCTTGCGTGGGAAGAGATCGCGGCCGACTTCCTTGCGTTGAGCGCGATAACCCCAAGGTTGTTGGGAAGGGAGGGGGCAGGAATCCTTCCCCCTCACTCCCCTCCTCCTGCTAAATAAGGGACGGGGGCTCAAACCCCAATCCTTGAGACCTGGCCCTGCGCGGCTGGGAGGGGAGGGTGCTCTCCCTGGGCTGAGGGGATGGGGAAGAGGTGATGGAGATGTCAGAGAGGGAGAGACCGCAGGAGAAGTCAGGGGACGGAGCCGGGGAGATCCCAGCGGCCGAGGCAGCGGGTTGCAAAGCCCAGCTCGTTTTGGGGGAGCACATCCTTGCTCCTACAGCCCCTGGGAAAGAGCCTGGGACCCGCTGGTGGAGGTGGGCACCCCCGGGGCCTTCGCAGCCCCAAGCTTCCCCCCCTCCCCCCCCCGGTGCCTGGAGGGTTGACGTGGCATCGGGGAGGTGGGGAACGGGGTTCCCCCCCGCCCACAGCCCCCCGCGCTGAGCGGTCCTGGCAGGAAATGAAACCAGCTCGGGCACCTGTCTGCACCAGAAATGCACCCACAGATGCAAGCCCAACCCCACGCACGCTCACATCAGTGCACCCACCCGCGGCTTGCACGCGCACCAACGCACCCCTGGGCGCTCACAAGCACGGGCAGGCGTGCAAGCACGCGTGCACGGCGTGTGCGTGTGTACGGCACCCCCCCCCCCCTGCGTTGCACACCCAGCACCCAACACGGCTGTTTTCTTGGTGGGGTGAAGATGCAGTCGTCCCACCCTCCCAGCTGCCTGCGGCTCAGGGCCAGCGCTGCCTGCTCCTGCCTGCTCTCTCCCTGCCAGATCTCACCCGCCAGGACTGCGGCACAGCCCCGCTGGCTGCCCCCCCCCCCCCCCGGCTGTGCAGACCCCCACCCGGGTGGGCTGCACCCGAGGGTGACACAGCCACAGGGACTAGAGACCGAGGAGAAAGAGGGGGAGCTCAGGATTTCTCCCTCCGGGTGTTTCCATCAGCAGGTGGGAATTTCAAGTGGATTTTTTGCGCGACAGTAGCTAGAAGTCCAGAAATATCCTTATTCACAGTGCCACTGGATCCGGGAGTCCCCCCCTCCCCGGGGCTGGGGAGCAGCATGGGGCTGGTGGGTCTCAGCTCTTGGATGAAAAGACCAGGCATGAACCTGTCTTGGTGGGGAATTATGCCTGGTCTCAGGTTTTCTCAGTCCATCAGACCTAGGAAGAGGGAAATACCCCGGCAACTGCACAGCCATGAATGCTCAGAGCTGCTCTCAGGGTTGTTTTTCTCCCCTCTGAAGGTCCATCCCTGAAACAACCCATCTTGGGGACAACCAGCATCCCCAGGGCTGGCTGGAAGGGTGACACAGGTGATGGTGGCCCACGCAGGAGGCCCGGAGAGGAGGATTCCTCACTTCAACGTCCCAGCTGGGATTTCTCCTGGGAAGGGTCTTGGCTTGTGGGTGGGTAATGGGAAGGATGGATCTGATACATCGGGAATGAGACTTCAGCAGCCATCTCCTTGCCTTGCACCAGGAGAGGGGGCCCTTCAGCTGGTGGGAATCAGCAGGAAAAGGGAAAATAAAAGGGAAAAAAAAAAAAAACAACAACAAAAAAAAACCAAAACAAAACAGAAAAGCAACAAAAGAGGAGCTGAGAATAAAATCCCGAGCAGGCAATATTCCTTTGCTTAAGGGAGCAAAGCGTGAGCATCCGCCCATCCTGTCGATCTGCCTCTTCTCTGCATCCCCTGGCTGGTTTAGTCCCTGTTGGGCGGCAGGTTTGGTGCCTCCGAGGGATTCAGGCGGCGCAAGCTGGATGAGAAGTGGTGGGCAGGGAAAGGGGAGGGTTGCTGCCTCGGATGTATGAGACAGAGGAGAATCTGCAGGCAGTGGCTGGGAACATCAGAGGAAAGCCGGCGTGAAAGCTCCCAGCTCATTGGAACCTGGAGAATTCACCTTCGGGCTGCCAAAACCCCGAAGGGAACCAGGTTTGGCTGGTTTTGCGGCTCCCAGAGCTACAGGGGCGATGGGGGATGCGGGATGCTCTGCAGGGGGGGGTCAGTGCCCTAAAGATTCCCCTCCCCAAAATGTGTCTTCCCCCAAAAACTCCCAGCAGGCGTAAAACCCCTCGTTTGCTCGTGCTCAGCAGCAAAAGGCACTCGTGGAGCTGGAGGTGCCACGGGAGGGCGTTCACGTCCCAAACCCCAGCCAGAGGGAACAAAAATGCTTCGGAAGCACCAAAGTGAATTAGGATCCCGTCCCACCTGCAGCGCTGGCAGTTGGCCCTGGCTCTGGGGGAGCTTCTCCCTCCCATGCCGGCCCCCAAACCCCTCTGTTGCAGAGAGCAGCCTCATTTCAAAGGCTCTCCTGGGGAGCTCTTTTCTCCAGGATGGTTTTAATTAAAGCAGAAGGGGAGCAGGTTGGGGATGCTGCAGCTCGGCGGGTGCTTTTTCACCTCCAGTGTGGGATCAGGCTGGATTCCCCCCTCTGCCTGTGTCCCCCTCCTGGGGAGGGGACCAGCCCTGCTTTACCCACCCCGATGGGGTTCAGGGAGCTGATTTTAGGGGCACGAGAGCAGAGTGGTCAACTGGGACCCCTTGTTATGGGGCCAACTAGTGGGAGGTCTATGGGGGGGGGGAGATGAGAGCCCACCTACCTATATAACCCCCCCAGATCTACCCTTGCTCTGCAGTAGCCACTGCTACCGTGCCACCGGCAGATCCAGTGCCAGCTTTGGGGACGTACAGGTGATTGCCAGCCCCGAATGCATCCCGGCTGCCCAGCCCGCATCCTGCTGCCGAGGCCGGGTTTGAGGAGCATCCAAAATCCCGGAGGCCTTTGGCTCACGCTGACCATGTTCGTGGGACCTGGTGGCCCCTGGGGAAGTGTCTCCAGGACTGCTCCCCATCTCTCCCGTCTTTTCCTTCCCTCCATGGAAAATCATGCCCATGCCTATGGCGGGGTGGGGTGGGGGGGCAGCTGGGTTTGAGGCCATTCCTGGGGGACTGGGGGTTTTCTTCAGCAGCGCTTTGCGTGCAGGGAGCGGTTATCTCTGCACTTCTGCCTTTCCCTTCTTAATCCGGGGACAAACTCCATCCTCACCCGCTTTCATGTTCTCTCATTAACAGGTACCTTGTACCTCTAATGACACAGGGCAATCAATCAGCCCAAACACTGTCTCCTTTCCAGAGGGAAGAGGGAGGTGAGGGTTGGGAGGAGGAAGAAGGGTTCCTGCTGATTTGGGAGCCCTCAGCATTGAGGCAGAGCCACACACCAGGTTTAATGTGTCCAGCTCTGTTGGCTCAAGCTCTCCTCCATCCACAGGTCCAGCCTGGGTTGAGCAGAGGAACAGCATCTTCTCCAACCCACTGCAGAAGGCAGCTTCACCAGGAGAAGGTCCCACCAGCTCCAGCACCCCAGTAGCTGCTCAGACTTGGAGGCTAAGCCGAGATTTTTTCCTCCAAAAGGCAGCAACCAGTCATTATCTCTGCTGAGAAGCCTCTGCTTCTGGGCTTCAAGGTATGAGAGAGTCCGACTCTGTCCCCAGAGTGGAACTGCAAAGAGAAAGACGGTGTTTGGGGGTTTCCTCCTCCACGCGAAGGAGCTTCCCAGGCCTGCCGGTGCAGTGGGGCAAGCAGGATGCTGGGGCAAAGCCCACCAAGCTTAGAGGATTGGCTGCTACCAGCTCAGAGGGAAGTGTCCCCAAAACCACTGGCAGAAGGAAAGCATGTGTGGCTCTGAAATAGAGTTTAAGCTATGGTTCAGAGCTTTATTTTAAACTCTAGGGCATCAGGGATGAGGTTTTTGATGTCAAGGGAACTGTCACCACTGTTGGGGACGAGCAGCAAAAGGGAGACACTCAAGAGTCAATCCCCATGGGGAGACGATTCCTGATAACAGATCTCACTGGAGAATAAAGAAACAGCCAAAGGAAAAAAGTTAGAAATACAGAACGCGTTTTTCATGAGGAGGGTCATTAAATGTTGGAGCAACTCCTGTCTTTCTTCCATCCGGGCGGAAGAGCCACAACTGGTTCCTCTAGCCTGTTTTGGGGCTAGGTACAGGCTTTCCTGGTGAGGAGATGCCACTACTCTGAATGTTGGCATCAGGCAGGTGTCTCGGCTCCAGGGAGAAGGTATGTGGCTGCCTGGACCTTTCCCTGTGGGAATGAGGGAGCTGGGAGTGTCCCTGCCTTTGGAATTGGAGCTGGAGCCCAGCTGCCAGGGCTAGTCTGCTGACTCATTTTAGAACCAACAATAAAAGCAATTGGCCATGGTGTGATAAAAGCTCCCCTGGCTTATCACCGCCCAGTTCCAGTAAGAAAATCACAGCTCTTGCAGACCATGCTGGGGAGTAATCGGAGGGCTTAATTGAGGAAGATCATTAGGGGAAAATAAAGATAGGGGAGCTGGAGTCTCTTACCTACTGTGAGCAATTGGGGCTTCCATGATGAGGATCAATGGATTTGTTTATCAGGAGGAAGTGGAGAAGAGGAAGCGGTGAAAAGCTCAAATGCTGCACCCCTGAAGGGAGCAGGGTGCCCCCATCCCTTCCTCACAGAGTGTCCCTGGGTGGGGGGAATGTGGGGGTGCAGCTCCGCTCCAGAGCAAAGAGCAGTGCAGAGCCAGGCTACCTTGTCTGCTGCTCAGCCCGTGCTCGCTGCCCTCCTCCCCGTGTGCTGGGGGCTGCCAAGACACCTGGCAGGGAGAACATCTGGCGAAGGAGCCTGCTCAGCTTTGATCTTCCAACCGTATTGTCCAGGAGCAGGCAGGATGCCTGGGCTTGGGAACGGGGTGGCTGGGGTTGAAGGGACACTTTGACTGCAGCATCCCCCAGCAAGAAAACTGGGACCTCACCTGGGGTCACCAGGCTGTTGGATGGGCCAGCATGTCCAAGCAGATGTGGGCGTGCAGGGACATCAGACCAAGGTCTTGGGGGGGTCCTCCTGCCCGCCCAAGCTGCCCGGAAGGGTCTCCCACATCTGCATGAGATGTCTCCATTGGCATCGAGGGGAGGGAGAGGTGCCAAATGAAGATGGGGCTTTATAAAGTGGGGAGGTTTGCCTCCAACACCATGAAGAGAAAGGTGGCGTAGGGAAGGATAACTGCCTGCCCATTTCTCTCACCCTGAGCCTCATCCCTTCCCCTTCTTCATCCTGGCACTGGGGTGACTTTTTCTCCCAGGTCTCTGGTCTCCAGGCTCTACCTGATGCAGACTGGCAGCAGTATCCCCAGGGGAGGCAGTCAGCCCTTGATAAAGGTATCTCAGGGAGACCTTCCACCAGCAAAGGACTGTTTCACCTCAGTAATGTTAATATTAATCTGCTTATCTGCCCTGGGGCTGTAAAACACTCATCTCCAAAGGGGAAAAAAAAAAATAAATACCCACTGTTCTTTCTTTATATCTTTACTTGCTTATTGTGGGTCTTATCAGCAAATACAGCCAGCCTTCAGGGCACGAGAGTCACGCAATGGCTCCAGCAAACGGAGCCTCTGGTCCTACACCGGCATCAGCATCGCATGTTCCTACTGCAGCTGGAGTCACCGGGCCAAGGCCATGAGAGCCTCTCCACCCCAGGGGGATGGCGTGATACGCTGCTGCTGAGTCCCCGGCGATCCTGGCGCTCTTCTGAATCGCCAGGTTAGGCACTGAGGGACCCGGAGCCCCCTCCAGGACGATCCCACCTTCCCCTGCAGAAGATGAATGCCAGTTTTTGGATGTCCCTTGTGGAAAGATGGCTCATGACTCTATTGCCTTGGCCTATGGCCTTTGTCATAGGTAGTGGAGATGTTATTTGGCTGATGGATCTCATGGCTTGTCCTAAACCATCCTTCCACTTTTCCCCTGAGGCCTCTGATAGCCTGCAGCTCAAACCATGGTTTGGAGCTCCCAGCCCTCACCCTTTCTTTTCCTGAAGTATTGGGATTACAACATTAAACAGTGAAGACAAAGCCCATGTGACCCAGAGTGAAGCTGGTCAGGCTGGTTCAATGAATTCAAGTGCATCTGGGGCTGGATTGTCTCAGTGTTTCACCACAAGTTGGTGACCTGGACACAGAGAGAAAAAAGAGTTACTCTTTTTCATTCAGGCTCATTTAGCGGGTCTGAACACCTCCCTGCTCTAGCTGGAATCTCCCTGAAGTCTTGGGCAATCATCTTCCCCGTTTTCTTCCCCAACACGCTCTCTTATTTCTGTTTCTTCTTGGAAGATTTTGTGCAATGCATGATGAGTGATTGGTATTCGGACCTGAAAGGAGCTCTCTCTCATTGGTCAGGGTCTGGGACTATGGCTGAGCAGATGCCACCCATGGGAACAGATTCAAGAGCAGTGCGTGTTGCACCAGGTGGTTATATTTGTTCCTGTATCATTGCTTGCCAGGTACTGGGTTGGCTGAGATGGATTTGCGTGCAAGTTGAAGAAAAGGAGGCATCTAGCTCTACTGGCATGGGTTGACTGGCAGCCAATGTAAACTCTTGGGTTTGAGTTGGAGGAAGTCCTGTTCTCCTTCTCTGCCCTGTTGTGAAAACAGCCTTGCTCCAGTCCAGAATGCCGGCGGCCTGACTTTCTCAATAGCAAGGGGTAAAGGTGTCCTTTCTCATGTCCTTCAGGACCAGCGGTGACTATGGTGAATGAGGCTTAAGGTGGCTGAAGTCTTCCGACACACCGGTCCCTCCAGAGAGGCTTTGCTCCAACCCAGTTAATTTGAAGGATCCCTCTTATTTTTCTGAAGAAAGTAACGTGAGCAGCAGCAGAACCCCTGGTGCAAGGTTGTCTGATGGATTCTCAAGGAGGCACTGAAGTGCTTTGAGCTCCTCTATGGACTAAGATAAACCTCTCCTGAATGGGATCTTAGAGTGACATGACAAGTCAGCTAGGCAATTAAAAACATAGTGTAGAAGCAAGGGAACTGGCTGTCCTTAGAGGACTTGGAGAAGAATGAGCCTTTTTCCAAGGTTTTTTTCCCTTCAGACGCAACTACAGTGAAGGTAAATTTCAACCGGTGAAAGTTTGTCCTGATTAGTCCAGAAATAGTGATGCTGCCTAGACCTCAGTAACATCCTCCTCCTCTCCACCCAGGCTTTGGGTGTCAGTTCAGCTCAGATCTTAAACTTCGATGGAGCCTGTGGGATTACGCCATGGGTTGGCTCTCCTTCAGCTGTCAAAGGGCAACTCTAAAAGAACACAGCCCAAATGGTATTCAGCCAGTCCGGTTTTGGGTACATTCCCTTTCCCTCCAGCAAAACACAGCTCACGCACCCCATGAATGTGCTTTGTGGTACTAAGACTGGATGTGACGGAATATCAAACATTTGACGGAATATCCGAGACTAGAAATGCTGGGAAATGAAAAATGCTACAAAGCAAACAAGGTAAGACAGGAGTTTCAATGGTTTCAGTTTATTACATCATCCCGTAAAGCTGTACCAGACCCAGCTTTGCTACCAGGACACCCAGGTCTTTGCCCCTGGTGATGTCTGGGCAATGGATAAGCCCACTGCTCAGTTTATGCTCTTCGCGGGGAAGCGCTGCTTGACCTGGAAGTGCTCGCATCTTTTGTGCTTCAGGGTCAGTCCGTAGAGCGGCGTCATGTCTGCTGTCTTGCCATCGCAGATGCTGAACTCCAGCTGCTGGAGCAAGGTGGACAGGAAAAGGAAGACCTGCCACCTGGCGATGGGTTCCCCAATGCACTTCCTTTTCCCCAGGCCAAAAATCAGCACCTTCTCCCCAGCCACTTTGTTCACTTCGGTCCCTTCAGCACTGAGGAAACGCTCTGGGTTGAAGGTCAGGGGATCCTTCCAAAGTTTCCTGAAAGGGAAAACGTCAAGTGCTGAGGTGGTATCTCCTGGACACGGGTGTAGGGGAGACACTAGAAGGTGGGAGCTGTCAGTAAGAATATCCCTGAATTTAGGAGATACCCCAGCTGCTCCCTTTTTTCTCTTAAAGCAGGTTGACCCCACTTCTGCCCAGGAAGGTAACCGTGTGGGAAGGGTCCTGTACGTCACTGTAGGAGCCTTTCTGCCTCAGAAGGTACTTACTCGTCATGGTTCACTTCCCACTGATTGACAAACACGCAGCGGTCCTTTGGGATGTAGTAGCCATTCAGCACTGTGTCCCTGGTTGTGCTGGAGGGAGAAAAGACTCTAAGAGTTTGGGAAGCAAAAAAGTTCTTCTGCATCCTCAGGGGGCTGTTTGCTCCTGATGCTGCTGAAATAAGGATGAGGCCCAAAGAGATGGCTTTATGAGGGGCAGTTGCACTGTCCGTGAGCTGGATTGGGCAACCCCTACCTGAGCTGGGTGGAGTATCTTCAGTGAAGTCAGAAGAAGGCAAGAATTGCTCTTTGGGAGCTCCTTCATTGCCCTGCACGAGAGCTGTGAGCTACCCGTGTCCACAATTTGCAACCCGTGAAGCATTCTACAAATCAGTAATAATCTCCCTGCCTCTCACCACACCGCTCCTGGTGTGGCTGCAAGTCCACCTCGTCCCTCCACCTCCTTTGCAACCTCAGCACTTGCCTGTGCGGGATGGTGAAGGGCATGAAGGAGGAGTGCCTGAACATCTCCAGGATAAAGGCTTCTGTGTAGGGCAGCGTGCCCCGGTCCGACAGCCTCGGTCTCCTCTCCCGGCCGATGGTCTGGTCTGTGGGAGGTTGAGAGGAGGGAGCAGGTTGGGGTCAGCTCTGGCCAGAGAGGTTTTGGCCCCCGAGGAAGCAGGTTCTTAGACTCACCTAGTTCTTCCTGGATCTTCTTCTGGATGTTGGGGTACGTCACAAGATACATGAGGCTCCAGGATAAGGCAGTTGTCACAGTGTCAAAGCCTGGTCAAAGAGGAAAACATGTAGATGAGGTCTGTACACACAGGGTATGTGCTTTGGTTTGCCACCTAACCATCAGATGGAGCTGTCTTGGATGGCTAAGAAGGCAGAGGACATACTGGGCACGCAGTCAGACTTGGGTTTCTATCCTGTCAGAGGAAACTTTGCTAAAATATTCCACTCTCAATCATCCTGATTCACCCTTGGGTTATGTCAGGTTTGTATAACTTCTCTGGAATCAGGGGAGTTTCCACAGAGTAACTCAAAGATAAATCAGTCAGCAGACATCTCCCTCAACCTGGAAAAGCCACCCTGGCTTGTGAAGCTTGACTGAGCTATAAACCGTGCCCTTTGCTTTTCCCTGAAGCCTCTTTCCAGAGCTAATGTCCCATGCTAGTCTCTAGGGGTGCCCCTGGAAGGTCCAGGAAGGCCAGTGAGCAGGAGAACAAGTGCTTAGGCCCCAGCTGGTTGCCTGGTGTTGGACAAAGATGGGTCAGAGAGAGTGAGTTATAGCACAAGGAGCACGAGAAAATCTGAAGTAGCTGAGGGTCTGGTGGGAAAAGATACCTGCTCCAAAGAGGTCGACCACAAGGTTGACGATCTTCTCCTTAGGGACCTTCGTGGCAGTATTTGCTTCCACATTTTTATGCAGGCACTGCTCAATGAGGGAGTCAGTGATGTCTCGGATGTTGTTCTGAGAGGAAGAGAAGACAAGTCATGGCAGCAGAACCAGCCAGGGTCATACAAGCTCTGGAAATCATCATCTTTCAGCCCCCGTGCTCCCCACTGCTTTTGCAACCTATGCTTTCATTTTCCAAGGAGATGGTTCTCCAGGGAACCTGTGGAACAGATAAGATGTTCAGCCAACAAACTGGCCCTATCACACAGGGCCGTGGAGGAGAAGGAGGACTGCAGTACTGGACTGCACATGGGAGAGACTTGCTGGACTTGCCCTATGCAACAATAGCTGCAAGAACGTAGATGTCCGTTGATGCTTGGCTGCAAGAGGAAAAACGACTCCCTAATAGAGAGAGGCAGAGAGTGGGGACGCATCTCTGGTGCAGGTGAGGCTCCTGCAAGCTCTTACCTCGTCATAGGTCTTGTAGTGCTCTTTGACAATCTTCTGTAGGAAATGGACGAACCGCTTGTTGAAATCTTTAAACAAACTCATGGCGCGGCTGGGGAGATACTGGAGCACGGGGATGAAGTCAGCGGGGTTGCCAGAAGCAGCCACGTCACCAAACTGTTCACTTACATTCACTATATTGAGCAGCTCTTGGTCGTTGTGGTCGTAACGCTTGCCAAAGCAGATGGCACAGATGACGTTGGCCACAGAGACCACCAGGTACCGGTAAGGGTCAAAGCTCTTCTCCCCCTCCATCAGCTGGAGGAACTTGGTGACCAGGTAGTCAGCCTCCTTGGAGACGTGCTCCTCCAGGAGGCAGGTGGAGGAGGAGGTGGGGCTGGGGGCGATGGAGAAGGTCTTCAGGGCGTTCTGGGCCAGCTTTCTGCGGGCTTTCCACACCTCCCCTGAGTCGGGGCTGAAGGCCAGGCTCTGCCCATCCGTCACATGGCGGAAGCTGTGGAGGTCGGGGCGCCCCATGAAGTCTTCTCCTTGCTTCACCAGGGCTTGCTTGATGGTGTCCAACCCGCTCAGCACCAGGACGGGCCGGGTGCCGATCCTGACCTCCATCACGTCCCCGTACTTCTGGCTCAGCCTGGTCAGGGCCAGGTGCGTGTCCTTCCTCAGCTCCAGCACGTTGCCGAGGATGGGGTAGCCTCTGGGTCCTGGGGGGCTCTTCAGCCCCTGGGGCACGTGCTGCTGGAGGGACTGGATGAGCAGGAAAACCAGGCAGAAGACGACAGCCATGAGGAGGATCTCGGTGGCCAAGGCAACGCCTTGGCTTCCCACCAGTGACATCACAGCCTTCATCACTGCCGGCGTGTAGAAACCCTAAAGGAGTTAACCAGAAGTGTGGCAAAGAGCCAGGATTAGCAAGAGGTTCAGTCCTGCGGGGTTTCCTGATGCTGAGAAAGGCACCAAGTGAGTTCAGGGTGATGGAGCTGCCCGTGCAGAACTTGGGGGTTTTCAAGAGGTAAAAGCTGGAGACTTGTAAAGACTCTAAACCCAGCCATCGCTTCAGGGGGACCTCAGCCCTCCAGAGCCTGTAATGGCACCCCTTCCCCTGTGGGAAGACCCCAGCACCCGCTGGCGCAGTCACAGCTTCTGCCCAGGGGAGACAGTCTGTTTGCAACAAGGCACAGAAAACCGCAGCTCAAAAAAGCGCAGGGAGGCAGGAGGAGAGGAACAGCAACTCCTCAAGGAAGCCGGCCCCATGTCCACCAACTCTGTGAGGATCTCTAGCCAGGAGGCTGGATCTGCTGGGTGGCCACCGGTGCGCGGGGCCACGGGGAGCGGGGATGCCGTGGGGCTGTCCTGCAGGAACGCACGGCTCGCTGGGTGGGAAGGGAAGGGAGAGCCTGGCACACAAATTTCTCCTTCAGACCCAAGCACAACTTCCCTGGTCTTATATCCCTGATCAAAAACACACACGCGCGCGCACGTTGTCTCCTACCTGCAGGTCCTTGCTCTGCACAGGGCTGGTTTTACTGCCCGCGGCTCCCAGCAAAGATAGGCAGAGGGTTTCTGGCAGCTGCCTGCCCCGAGGAGCGGTGGGGATCCTCTCCTGCCACCTGGATCTTCTTCTCCTGTCACCCGTAGGGCAGTGGCTTTATATGCGCTCCCCTTGCCGCATGGCTGGGTGCTTATCTCTGGGGGGTCACAGCACAAAAGCCTTGGGGAATAGCTATCCATTAACAAACGGGGCTGAGCCTGGCTGGAGTCAGCCCAAGAAGCCAGGCAAGATATTTCCTCAGCTCCAACGGGCTCTGGGGGATGAATGGTGACTTCTCCTCCTCTCCAGGGCACATGCCTGCCCTAGAGTCCAGGATGGGGAGGCAGAAGGGGGTCCATAAGCCCTGCCCTGGGGAGGATAGAGCACACTCCCTCAGCACTGCTGTCCCGTGGGATGTGGGTGCCAGCCTTTACCCCCAAGACCTTTTCTGTGCTGACCAGACTGCTCCCAGCACACAGAGAGGGCTGTTCACCTCCATGGCCTCTCTGGAGGTGCTTCCAGCAGCGAGGGGATGTGTTTGCAGCAAGGCATCTGCAGCCACAGCCCTCTCCATCCCCGTGGGGAATCATCCAGCAGGTCCCCACGCCCCGGGACTGGTGGTGGCAGGACCTTCTGGCCCAGCAGCAGAGCCAAACTCAGGTTAACGATTGCCGAGGTTCGCGTGAGAAGGCGGCTGGCTCGCTTCCCCCGGCTCCTCCGTGGCAAACAGGCAGCGAGGGAGAGGAGTGGCGGGGCAGAGGGGAGGAGGTGAGCCAGAGAGATTAGGAGAGGTGAAAGGGGCAGTGCGGGGCAAGGCTGGGGCCATTCATCCCTCTGAAAACATAACGTGCCACCCAGCAGGAGATGCGGGAACAACTGGGGCTGCTGCTTGAGCTGGGGCAAAATTCAGGGCTTTGGGAAATGCAGCTGGGATGAGCTGGAGGAGCAGGAATGAACCAGAGCTTTGGGGCTTAGCCCTAAGTTTCATTTAGTCTTTGAAAACTACAGTGGGAATTTGGCCCAGGTAAGAGCTGAGCTAATATTTAATAAAGGCTTTCAACATCTGGTCTAATCAGGCTCATTAATAGCAATGACGCCGTTCATTAACATTTGGCAAGAACAGTTACAAAACCCTGGCTGCTAATATTCATTCAGATAATTGCCAGACACCTCGCAGACCTACCAGCCCTGGCTTCACCAGACAATGCCTCCCAGCGAGGAAGACTCTCGGGAGCACCTTGGGGGAGGCAGGCTGGGGTTTCACAGGAGCAGGGCACTGCCTTGCAGGCTGGATCCAGCCGGCGTCTCCCATCCCCACGGATCTACCCATCTCTATTGCATGGGTTTGGGGGGGTGGAGGGGCAGACTGATCGCACTCACCCCCCCCCCCCCAGGCAGCATTTCAGACCTTGGTGGCCTTGCACTGCGGGGCAACCCCCACCAGCCTCTCCTGATCCATCATATCCCAGAGCGCTGGAGAATCTGGGTCCTGGCGCCACATCAGGAACCCCAGAGGGGGTCCCCAGGACCCACCTGCCCCTCTTCTACCCCCCCCCCCCCCCACCTTTTTCCCCAGCCTCCTCCGTGCTCGCTGCCAAGCCTTGTGAGGGCAGGGTGCCTCCCGATGAGAACAGCGTTAAGAGCTGCCGCCTTGCGTGCCAGGCAGCCTCACGCCCCAAATACACTGACACCCAGTGCCGGGCACCCACCCCGGCCACCGCCCCTTGCTGAGCCCTCGGCTGCCCGGGGCTGGCTGGGGGGGGCGGCCAGCGAGCCCCACAGGACCCCTGCCCTTGGCAGGGCTCGCACACTCCCGCCAGCACTCGCCGATGCACCTTGCTTCCCTCCCGGCTGCGTGCCCGTGGGGGTTTTTTTTTAGTGTGTACGGCCGTGCCAGCATGCGTGTGGCGAGGACATGCGTGAGCAACATGTGGCGGAGCACGTGTGGGGGCGAGCACCCGCGAGGAACACGACTCTGCTGCGCGGCGGCGGGCAAGCGAGCTCTTTGTGCACGCGCAAAGAAACATCCAGCGTGTTTTTGCGCCCACGAGAGCGTGTTAAAATACGCGCGCGTGCACCCACAGGAGAGCACGGGGCGCGCGTCGCCTCCGTCTGTGCGATGTGTCTGCGGGGTCTGTACGTGCAGCGGCACGGCTGTATGGGTGTACCTATAGATGGGGCGAACGTGAGGGACGTGGGTTTACCGGGAGGCGTGGGCGGGGGTGCCTGTGAGTTTTACCGAGGTGCCACGGTGCGTGCGAGAGTCCGTGGAGGCATCCCTGCCTGGGGTTTACGGACACATCAACGTGTCCTGCGTGGTCCGTGTGTCCCGAGCAGCCCCTTTCCTGAGCCGTGGGGAAAGACGGCACGGGGGACATCTGCACGGGTCCCCTGGGAACGGACAGCCGGAGGCACGGGTCAGCGTCCCTTGGACCCCAAAGAGGACATTCACGGTGGCACGAATGAGACACCCCCCCACACACAACCCCCACCCCCCCCTTCCCTCTTTGCAGGGTGGAAAACCACCCCTCAGCCCCACTCCTCGTGGACTGGACAGTGCGGGGACCTCTGTGTCCTACTGAGAGGGACACAAGCAGCGGGAGGGGGGCTGTTGTCCCCTCGCAGGTGATGGCAGCATCCCGTGGCACAGCAGTTGCAGCCCTGTTACCCCCGACGCTGTACCCGGTGCTGGGGAGCCCCCCCGACCCGAGCCAGCCCGGGGTGGGGGGGGGGTGGGGGGGCGCGATCCTGAGCTGCTCCGGCGCCGCCCTGACCCCGGGCCAGGCTCCTGGACGTGGGGCCACCGCCCTGGTCCTTTAAAAGCCATTTCCCCCCCCACCCACCCATAGCGTGACTGCGAGTGACCGGGACAACCCTCCCGGGTCTGTCCGGAGCCCCTTCGCACGCGATGTCCCCAGTGCCACCTCTGGGACCCCCCCCGGCGGGGCGGGACCCCCCCGGCCCCTCTCCCATCCCCGCTGTGGCCGGGCTGAGGACCGGGATGCGGGTGGAGGGGGTGAGATTTATGGGGGGGGGGGCGGGGAGCGGGCTGATCGCCCTTGTCCTCCTTGAAGGGCAGGTCCTGGCTTGTCACCCCACGGGGATCGGGGATGTGGGCGGGGGCTGGAGCTGCGAACTGTGCCTGAGACCCCCTCTGGACGCCCGAGCATCCCCCCCCCTCCGCCCCGCGACGTGCCCCCCATCTCCGTTTGCCCCGTCTGCCCCATCCCCGCGCCATCTCGACCCCCGGGCTGCTCTGTCCCCGGGGGACAGGAGGTGACAGAGGGCACGGCCGCTTCTCACGCAAACCTGGACAATCTTTAACCGGGCCGGGGCAGCGAGGGCCGTGACCCCCCGGGGCTGCCCCGCCGCCCCCTTCCCCACGGAAACTCGATCCAGGTCAACCGAGCGGCCCCCGCAACGTGGGGCGGGGGGGGACACGGGGCCGCTGAACCCCCCGGGCTCCCCTGTCTCTCTGCTTTACCGGGGAGCACCGGCAGAGGGACCGGCGACCCCCCCGCCGAGGGGTCGGATCGCTAAAGCACCGCGGTGGGGAGGGTGGTCTACGCTCAACCCCTGCGTGTTCGCGGAGCCGCGTTGGGGGGAGTGAATTCCCCCCCCCCGCCTTCTTACCCGGTACCGCGCACACCGGGGCTGTTTTTCCCACGCTCCCGCTCGCCCCGTGGCTCCGGACACCGGGAATATCCCGGGGCTACGGGCAACAGCGGCCGCGGGGCTGGATGGAGCCGGCTGCCCGCAGCGAGGGCTGCGGGGGGGGGGGGGGGGGGAAGCAGCGGGGCCGGGGCGCTCCCCGGGGGGGGTCGGGGAGGGAACCGGAGCCCCGGGACCGGCGCCTTTAAGATCCTGCCGGTAGCGTGACTGGAGTGACCGGGGCGGCGCGGGTTGCCCAAACATCCCGCCCGCTTCGCACGCGATGCCCCCCCCCCCCTCCACCCCCCCATCCCACAGTTTGGAACCCACGGGTGGCACTGGCACCCCCCGCCCGACCCGTCGGGACACACACACCCCCCCCCGCAACCCCGCCCGCCGCCTTGCAGCTTCCCCACCGGGGACACGCAGGGGAGCGGGGCACCCACACCCCACGCGTGGGGTGGGGCTGCGCGACCCCTCTCCTGCCACTGCGGGGAAGGGTGTGTGTGTGTGGGGGGGTGTGGGGGGTGTGTGTGTGGGGGGTGGGGTGTGTGTGTGTGGGGGGGGTGGGCGGTGTGTGTGTGTGTGTGGGGGGGGTGCGTGGGGGGGGGGGGGTGTCCGGGTTAGTTATTGAGGAGTTTGGACGCACGTCAGCTTTGATTAGGCTTCGGTCACGTGACGGGAGGTTGCCGGGCCAATCAGGGCGAGCGGCGATGCATATAAAGCAGAAGCGAAGGGCGAGCGGGGTACCTGCCGGGAGGATCGGGCCCCCAGCCGCTCGGCTCCGGAGGTGAGTACCCGCGGGGCTGCCCGCTGCCGGGCACGGCTCTCTGCCCCGAGGATGGAGAGGTGCGGGGGGCACTTCCAGCTCCCCCCAGAGGGATAGAAAACCGGGGGGTGCCCTGCCGCAGGGTGTTCCCCCTCACTGGCTCCCCAAATCTCCTGTAGCGTCCTTCCCGGAGCTGTGAGAAGGGGATTTCTGGGGTGTCCTGGAGGTAACCCTCAGAGGGAGTCCCAGCTGGGCTGCGCCCACTGGGGTGCAAGGCTCTCATCCGCCCCCCAACCTTCTCACCCCATGGGACACCCGAGTGTTTGCAGCACCCTGACAAACCCAAGGGGAGGTGGGATTTCAAACCCAGCCTCTTCCTACCCCTGGCTTGGGGTTTTCTGAGGGATTTCTGGCGGAGCTGGGAGCAGGGTGTCCACAGCCTGTTGGCCCCATGCTACAGCTACAGTTACCTTTCATGGCCATCGATCTTTAGGAAGATTTGTGGCAATGCTCTATTCAGTTTTCTGGCAAGCAGAGGCTTAGCACGAGCAACCAGATGACTCAGATCAGGAGGATTCAGCTCTCCTGTAGTCAAGCACTCTGGAAAACTCTTTGCAATAGAAGAGAGAGGTCCTGTAGTTAAGAGAGCACCTCTTCCCTGGCAT